CGATATCAGCGTCCACAGGTACTTGTACTTCGTGTCGCTCGTCTGCTCATCGGGTACGGTGAAGGCGGCCAGCGTTACCTCCTGCTCGGGCAGACGAACCTCCTTGGACATCACCGACACGACGATGTCCTTGTTGGCCTCCGCTTTGTCCGCCGGCGCAGCGGACACCTCGGGCGAGTTCTCGCTGGCGGCGGCGGCCACTGCCTCCTCCTGCTGCTGCTGCTGCACAGCCTCGTTGCTGGTCAGATAGGCGCTGTAGGGGATGGCACGCATCACGCATTTCCGCTGCTTGTTCCAATCGAAGCCGCGCGGGCAGGTGCACAGACCCGTGGCGGCATTTGGTCGGAGGGGCACGCACTGCTCTTGCGGCGGGCAGGGCGTCTCCAGGTCACAGGTCATGAATTTGCCATTCTGCGGCAGCTCCACGCCGCCAAAGTAGTTGAGATCCTCGCTGGCCAGCACATCGTTCTCGTCCAGTTGGTCGTGCAGCTGCTTCAGCCGCTTGTCCGCCAAGGGAAAGTCCTCATCCTCGTAGGTGGGCGATTCCTTTAGAGATTCGGATTTACTAGCGGAACTCTGGATGTACCCTTTCTTAGGGGGGGACTCACCTGATTGCGTGGCAGGTAGCTCAAGCGGCGTGGCTGCTTCCAGAAGTTGAGGGCTGCCGCTCCTTGGGCCGCTAGCTCGTCGTAGGGCAGAATCTCGGCATTCGGCTTGGAGGCCTTCAGCAGCTGAGTCCACGTGGCTGAATCCCCCACGGGATTGACCAGCACCATTTGGACCTTCTCGTTGCTGCGTATCCGCTGCTTGGGCAGGCAGCCCTCGTTGGTGCTGCAGCGGATGTGGTAGCATTTGCCGTGGAACACCAGCACCACGTTGCAGGCGCTCGTCTGGTTGCGTGACTTGTCGCAGCACGCCTGCAGGCAGCTCCAGAGGTAGGCCTCCTCCTCCAGGGGCTCCTCGGCGGCCAACTCACCGCTGGGCTTGTACTCCTCGAAGACCCCCGCCTGCTGCTCGTCGCGCGGCGTGGCATTCTCAAAGACGTGGCGCAACATGCGCGGGCAAACACCAGTGCTGCCGCTGCCAGCGCTGCCAGGTGGAGTCTCAGCGGCCGCGGCAGCGGAGCCCCCCGTCGCCAGCAGAGCATTTTGCGTCGTTACACCAGCCATGACGTCGGCATATGCTGACGCCATCGCCAGCAGCAACCAGCACAGCTGCCACACGCGTTTCTCCATGTCCAATACGTGCCCCACTGCTTTTCGTACAAGTTGCACAACTTTTCCTCTGTTTTTCTGCAATATTTTCCACAAATAATGTATTTTTTCTTGGAGCGACACAAAACTAACACGCAAACAGCTGATTGAAAAATTAATACTCAAAAATAAATACTTTTAATACTGTTTCCGACGAAAAGCAGAGCCAGTGTTGCGAGTGGGAGCAAAAGAGCGTTACAGTTTGAAGTTGCAAAAGAGCCAAAAGAAAAGCTTTCATTGGTGTAAGCTTGTTGCTTGGCAGCGACAGGAATGAATAAATCAGATGGATGGCTCGTTCGTTCGTTTGTTCGCTCGTTCGTCGCGATTTCAGCCAAGTTTTACGCTCATTTGCATAAATTCCAAAAAAATATTGATCTTCTGTTTTTTGTTCTCTCTGACTTATAAGGTCTCGTGCTGCCCACACGAACACGTTAGCTGGCTGGTTGGTTGGTTGGTTGGTTGGTAGCGCCCCATAAAGAGCTCATAAATAAATCCTGCCCACGCGCCTCGTTTCGTTTTGATGCACAAATTAATTACATTTCAAGCAAATGAACATAAATCAATGCATTGTGTTTATGTTAATATTGGTGAAATGAAAAACTATATACAGGAAATCAAAGAAAATCCATTGGAATCAGAACATGAACTGCGGGCGGAACTTTTGTTTGTTGTAGAAAAATCCCCCAAAAATCCATGGTACTTAGTTTTTCACGGCCTTGCTCTGACGTCTGCTTTTATTATCTAAATATTGTGGCATTAACTAACCAACAAACACCAAAAAAAAAAACAACAAGGAAAAGGGTTTTAGTTGAATATTTGTGGGGAGGAGAGCTTTAAGAGTCTGCAAAGGGAATTATTCCGCCGGAACAGAGCTGCTGCTTGCATACAAACTTGCGACAGTTCCCGCTGATTGCCATTTAAGGGCAAACCTTTTTCCTGCTGATAATAACCCTTTTCTCTCCCGCTCTTACAGATGACAGACTTCTCGGATAGCTCGCCCAGTGGGGTGCTGAGTCCAGCCTCCACACTGATAGAGAATTTCCACAAAAAGAACAGCTCCCCACAGCCCCTCAGCAGCAGCAGCAGCAACAGCATCGGCAGCACTCCCACCACCACAATGAATGGCAATGGAGGAGGAGTAGGATCAGGAGTGGTGGCAGGAGTGGGCTCAGGATCGGGCAGCGCCAATGGCCGACAGATCAATACGAGTTCTAGTTCATGCAGTAGCCTTAAGGAAACCTCCCATCAATCCACATCCACATCGCAGCAGGTGAGACTCGAATCGAATCGAAATCAAGATTAGACAAGAATGGAATCTGACGTAGTAGCGGGCTCCACTCTCAGATATCGTAATGGCAGTCAGGGAGCTGCTGACCAGAGCCCCTATATTTAGCCCATTACTTAAGGAGGCCGCATAATCAAGCAACCTCTTGGCAGTCAGTGCCTGCCGCACCGCAACGGTCTTCAACACCGATAAGCAAAGAGGTTAACCACTGGCCATTGAGAGCCCTTCACTTCCCCTTTGCCCACCTGCAATGGGTGCGATGCCCAGCGATAAGATTATGTTCCTATAGCTAATCGGGGGCGACATCATGGCTGCTGTCTAAGCGGAATCGTTGGTACTCGTATTAATCACTCGCGAGTGTGAACACAACTACAAACGAACAAAAAACCATCAAAATTATAACTGAATAATTCACAGAAATATAATAAAACAGAACAGAGGAGTGAGAGGAATGAGAGAAACGTGCCGCTTGTGCCAATTTGTTGTTTAAACAATTTTAACGATCTGTTAACAATTTATTTATGATTTTCCCTCAGCGCTTTTATGATTCAAGCAGATAAGATATTGGTCGGGGGGTATTCACCACAATTTGCATAGTACTTTTATCTAGAAAATTTCCCAAGTTTTTGATAAGGAAGTTGCCAATCAGCGGAATGGAAAAAGTGTCCATCAAACGATGACCGGTTTTGGCCCCCTAAAAATAGCAACTGACTTGGTCAAGTAGAATTTTTGTATTAAATTTATGACTTGGACAGAAGGTGGAGTAGCCGTTCTCGTAATCAAAGTAATTACGAGTACGGATGCGAAAATAGTTTGCTTTTGTAATACATTTATGACACACGTTAGGTGAGGGCTGGGGATAGATAGATGGCAGCAAGCATCACCCTTGCACACACAGAAAGCCAAGCAGCGACGACTTTTTCGCTTGTTCTCCCACACTCTGTCTAGACATCTTCGCTTTGCTCTTCTCTCTCTCTCTCTCGCTCTCTGTTTGTTTGTTGGTCGTGCTTTATATATGGAGAGTGAGTCATTTGCCGGCACACTTCGACGTCAGCACGGCAGCACACAGCTTCCCCCTTCCAAACAGTAGATTTGCCTCGTGCTCTGGTTTATGGATTTTATTGGTGGGGGGCTAATCTTGCGTACATCCTGCTCGAGATTCAAGTTCAAGCATAATGAATGTGATTTGCTCTAGTTCTAGTACAGAGTTAGTCTTTTATAGACCCATATTACAGTTCCACTATATATTTCATTCACTTTTAATTAAATAACACACAAATGTCCCTACGACTTTCGTTGCATTGATCGTCTCAATGACGCGGATCGGGAACGAAGCGAAATGGGTGACAATTTTAGTTTTCTAGGGAAAAATGTGTTATTTCAGTTGGTTTAAAGAAACCGATTTGGCGATACGATTTGCCTGTTCGCAGAAATTGTTGAGGTAAGGCACAAGAAAATAGCAGAATTATGGCAAGAAAAGAAAGCGGTGCTATAGAAGGTACTTTAAGAACTATTATGGATGATAAATGGGCACAATAATTGGTGTGAGAATTGAAAGGAAATTATGCTAAAGAGGAAGTATTATTGGAATGAAAAATCAAAGAACTTAAAATAGATAAAAAAGAGACATCTAACTAAGACTATCGGCAGCTTTAATTATGCTAAAAGCTTTTCAAAACCCCTTTAAACGACATAATAATTAAATAATAATAAATTCCAAGTGAATTCGTTAAACAATTATGCATAGATTAACACCTAATTATTTAAATATTCAGCCAAAACAAATGTTAAACGGAATTCTCTTGCCTCTCTGTCACACTCTTTGCGTGCAAAAAGCAAAAAAATTACCGTGATAATCAGAAAAGTAAACAACGCAAATTGAAATGAGAAAAAACGAGATACGATCTTCAACAAGCTGCCAATACCAATAGCAATACCAACAATAAAAGGCCACAAATCGAAGCCAGAAACAGGCAGCGAGTCGGCAGTCGGGCGAACGCGTTAATTAGAGAATCAAAAGCTCTAAAACGTGAACAGCAACAGCAAGAGTGGAGCCCGTAGTAAGTAGTTGGTTGGAATTATGGAAATGCAAATGATACACAGCATAAATTAACGTCTATCAGCAAGGCAGACCCACAAGCAACACACCCGTAGGAGCCCTAAGGAGAGAGCGGGACACAAAATTGGATTTCCTAGAATTACCAACACTATCACACACACACACACAACACACAGACACGTTTCGCTCTCTGAAAGTTATCTCCCTCTAGCGCACGTTCGCTACTTGCCCACCCACTGCTCTCGCTCTCTCACCCTCTCTGTCTGTCTCTTGCCTGCCGATCGGCACTTTAAACTGGCGGCGACCGACCGACAGCTACGCTCAAAAAAAAGCTTCGGCTGGCTTTGGCTCTGTCTCTGTGCGGCTCTCGAGTTAGAAATTTCTCGGCACGGCGCTCATTTTTATTTTAGTTAACGAAACGAACGAAACACAGCAGTGGCGACGCGCTAAGAAATTCAGGAAATACTCGAACAAATAAAAGAAGGAAAAAAAACCCAAAGCCCCAAAACGAAAGGCGGAATTGTTGTTGCTTGTATTTTCCATTGCCTAGCGTGTGTGCCCCGCGAACCAAAAAATATTGTTAATAATAATTACAAAACGAAGCAACGAAAATCAATGCCCAAGTAATTTTAACTTGTGCATTAACGAACCTTAACGAACTCTCCTTTGTTATCAGTATTGTGCGGGGAGGTAGAAACCAGAAAAGCCCACATATAAAATCGAAACGAAAAGCGTAATAGAAAAGTTTGTACAATTTGTAAGAGCGGGAAAACGTGAAATAAATCAATACACAAATAAAATATAAAAAAATAAAATCTGTGTCCATCGAGTATATAAATTTACTGTTCCACAATTGTTGGTGCCTTGTGCTTGTGCTTGTGCTAGTGTCGTATCTGATAAGCCCGCACTCATCCCCAGGCCAGGCTGATTATTCTGCTGTATGCTAGAGTAGAAGTATATGCACATATGTGTGTCTGTGCTTTATCAAAACGTAGGCGTATACGTAATATGAAATTCAATTGAATTTTGCACATTTTTCCAAGAAGTTTTTCGCCCACAACACACAGCTCTTGCCCGTCACTAAAAGGTTAGTCCCAACGCAACATCACTCTGATAATTAAGTAAATGACGCAAAAATGTAAGAGGGAAAAACAATCGTACTATGTACGGGTAGTACACGATCGATGTGATATCTAATCTTGCTTGATTTCATGTCCGAACCAAACTCCCCCTGTGCGGAAAATATTTATTGATCAGTGTGTGGAGTGTTTCTTGCCTTTGCCTTGCCTTTGCAGATAAGTTGATGTCAGGAAAGAATGTGATGTGCGATATGCGATATGCGAGGCCAATGTTTGCCTGTGGCTCTGGCCAACTTGTCGTATGCGTAATGCCAACCATCCACTCAAAACAGTCTCGATTTGCACATGTTTTATTGCCCCAACCAGAAGACTGAACCGCCATAGTAAATGCGAACAAAACCCACACAAAGAGGAGACTCGCGACTCACGACAGATGAACTTGTTTGGGCCAAAATCTTCTTTGGCCAAAATTAGATTTGATTCGTAATTCGCTTGTCAAATTATTCACGTAAAGCGTCTCGAGACTTTCTGCAACAAAACCATAAATAGAAAAGTTTTGGGTTTTTCCTAATAAGTTGACGAATTAATTTATCTAAAATTTGTAGGGAAAAAAAAGTATGGCTAGAGGGCATCAATAAGTGAGGAGGGTTCAATGGTCAATGGCTTGGCAGAACAAAGGAAAATCTGCCTTCATGGGTAATCAACGAATCTTGCAAATCAAATTAAAGTTTCTGGCCATAAAGCATTTCCTTAATTATCAAAAAATGAATTTTGAAAGGCCCATCCATCTATCGCTTAAACCTTCTCTTCGTGCCAGACAAATATAATATTTATTGTATCTGGTATGTCGATCCCAAAACAAATGGCTCATTTAATTTATAAAGACCACGTTAAGCGCCATAAAGATAGCGCCAGACAGAGAGAGAGGGAGAGTAAATAAAGCAGATATCTATATGATATTTGCTTGAGGAAGAGCTCCACGCAATCGGCACATTCCTTGCATATTTCTAGCTTTAGTTTGTCGGCCAAAAATATTAATTACTTATCTTTGTCTTTGTCTTTTTGTGTGCCGGCAGGTTGTCAACAGCAGCAGCAGCACTACGACGCGTGTGGAGAAGAAATCGCAGCGTCTGCATCATCACATAACCTCCTCATCCTCCAGCTCATCCTCGACCACACAGGCACTGTCCACATCCTCGGAGATGAAGGCGGCGGCGGTCAAGCGAGATCTCAAAAACATACAAAAGTCCATGTCGGAAATTAACGATTTGGCGAACAGCGCAACAGCCACGCCCACATCAGCCATAATGCCAACAGCACGTCTGACGGCAGGCACACTCAAATCGCCCCATCCATCGATCGATGATCTCAGGGGTCTGAGCCAACAAGACAAGATCACAGTGCTCAAGAACCAGTGAGTGTCCCATCAATATATTGTTTCCTTTGCCATTCCCAACTAAAACTCTTTTTTTTTTGTTTGCAGACTTCGCGCCTCTTGGGAGAACATCGTGGACAACGATGACGATGACAGCAATGTGATCGTGACCCTGCCCGACGACGACGACTGCCCGCACAATCATTTTGGCAGCGGCCTGGACCTCACACATCCCACGGCAGCGCAGCTGAGTGCCAGCAGCGGGCTGAGTGGCTCCAACAAGACGATCGACACGATCAAGTTCCAGGAGAAGCGCATGAAAACCGAGTCCAAGACGAAGGTCGTCACCGATGGCTACAGCTCCGAGCAGGCCACCAGCAATTCGGCAGAGTCGAAGCGACTCCAGGCCGGGGATATAGACTACAAAGAGAACAAGGCTGCGTCGGCGATGAGGAATCGACTGGAGGTGGATGGCATTAAAACGGAGGAGAATGCAGCTGTCATTAAGGTGAGTCTGGCAGTGGAGCATTCTGGAATCTGCAATCTGAAATCTAATCTAATAACCTGCTGCACATTGAACCCGTCCACCCCTATTAAATCTGTTTGCCCTTCTCTGTATGTCACGAGTGGAGCTTTCTGCGCAAAGCTTTCTAGTCTGTGGGTTGGGAGTGTGCCAAAGGGGAGGAACAACCCTTGAGGGTAGCTTTAGCTAACTGTTAGACCGGGCACTCCTTTCGCTTCTCAGTTGGAATTCCATCGCGTGCATGTTAAGGTCGCATAAGGGACACGCGCCAAGGCGTTAATGTAGTCCCAGTGCCAGACCCAGTCCCAGTCCCAGTCTCAGTCCCAGTGCCAGTTCTCAGTGAAAACTCTCCCAAAAAGAAAGTGAAACTTTGGAACAAAGAAAATCAATAGCCTGGCGCCAAAAAGTAGGCAATCGTTATGTGAAATGTTCGCAAAGAAGTGCCTGCTCCTGCGGAGCAGCCCACAATTCATGCGAAACTATTGCAAAGCGGCGAAAGGACCCAAGGATAAAGAGCCAAGAAGCATGCTGAAAAGAGTACAGGTACCTGCGCTTCCTGCCCCACAGATCATTGCCTTGGTTCTGCCTCTGTTTTGGGTGCACCTGTTACCCAGGGTTACGCGGAAAACCCGTTCGGGAAATACTGTTTGAGGGAATTTATCTAATCAGCAGGTCGACTAGCCGTGGAGCTGTATTACATCATTAATGATTCGCCGGGGTATATTAGCATTCATCATTTTATGACCCGGGCTGATGAAATATCAAATGGATCGCATAAATACGTTAAATGCCAAGGGTCAGGGTTAGAGATTGGGTTTCCTCGTAGTAGAAGCAAGTTCGCGGTGTATAACTTAAAATATCACTTGAAAGGAGCGAATGGAATATTTAGAAGCAGATTCAATATGAAAATTCAATAAAATCATGCTTGTATAACAGTTCGAGAAACTGTTATACCCAAGCACTTAAAAATACGCCCTCAAAATCCATCACAATGCGACCCATCAACACAGCAAAACAGTGCCCCAATATTAACCGTATACCAAAACACACGAGAGCATTAATCTCAGTGGGATGCTTGTGCTTGGCCATCGGCCAAACAATCGGGCAGACAATCAGCGAGATGGACAAACATAAAGACAGACAGCCACGCTCCATGTGGGATGATAATAAAGAACAAGAAGAGGAGCAACCGATGCCAACAAGTGCTCAAGATGTGAATATTAATAGAGAAATGCCAATGAAAATACTTTGATATCATTTTTATGCGATGATTCCACGAACAATCCGTGGAGTCTTGAGACTGAGACATTTGCGTCAATTGTTGAAGAATCGAAGGAACGGCACGCACTGCCTGCCCCCGAAACTATTTCCCAGAAGTAACAGAGAACCCAAAACGAACCCAGAAGTATTCGTAGTGCCCCTTGCTCTCCCACCTTCCATCCATTTTTGATTTATTTCCCATGGCTTTGCGCTCTGAAAATTTGGAAGCAAAATTGGCCCTGCCCGCCTGTTGCTCTGTTGTTTTATTTTCGAAAATTCTTTTGAATATATTGCCGCTGAGCGGAACGAGCGATCCCCAGTAGCAGACAGACGAGCGTCGCGAGCGTTTCGGCAGCAGCAAATGAAAATCTATGCAATATAGCAAATACACATCATACATATAACAGAATATAAAATCGTATGCTATATGTGCACGACAGCGACAACGAGTCCCATGTGTGTCTGTGGCTACAACTGTATAAATACATTCAACAAAGTAGAGTGCAAGTGACAAAGACCTTCTAATTGGGAAACAAAACAGTACGGAATCGGCTTTTGGGGGGATTTGAAGAGTGTGAAAGTTCTCATATGTAGATGGATGGAAAGCTGACCTTGACGGATCCAGCAGCAAGTTTCGAAAAATATTCTACATAGAAGAAAACTGAACGAATTCAGTGATGAAATTCAACTTGACGAAACATGTGTGATAAAAGAAAAGCGAAGAACATTTAAGGAAAGAGAGCAGCAAATAAAAAACACTTGACAAAACGATGGCCTATCGCCTGCGACGCTATGTGAGCTTTAATTAGGTTTTACCCCAGCCCTCCCCCTCGTTTTGTTTTGTATGCAAATTGTGAATCAACAAGTGCTCGTTCGGACTGCATCATCACCCAGATCAACCCCAATCCATACAAATATTACAAGTTCCATTTGTCGGCCAGTGTCACACGCAGTCAGCACACTCACCCAACACGATACGGATACAAAACACTCAACTCAACACACAGAGCACACAGAGAAGACTGGGCAGAACACAGAGAAAGCGTAGCCAATTTGTGCGCTATTTTTATGTGAATGAAAATATATGTTTATATGCAGATAAAGTACTACTATATGTATACACAATATATATAGTATACGCCGACTAGCAGATTGGAACAGCAGCAAAAGTACACACACGGCATTCAGTGTGGGATTATATATAGTTGAAGAAACATCGAAAAGGAATCTGCAAGTGCCACCGATTCGACGACTTTGACATTGAAAACAGAGCAACAATCCACCTTCCTGTCTGGGGCCCGGCGGCAGGCATGTCCAACAACAGCAATCAGGCACCTTGGCCTGTCCGCAAGGGCATCTTCCGTTCGAGCGGACAGTCGGACTTTACGCCCGGACGTTCGCCCAGTCCGATTGTGGAAATGCCACTCTCACCGCCACCCGTGGCCACGCCCAGCAATCGCTTTGGTCTCACCTCTCCGCTCTCACCGCCGCCGCAGCCCATACAGGTGGTGGGCGTGACGACAGCGGCCGCCACCATGTCCACTGCGTCCGCTGCCAGAGCTTCTTCGGGAGGAGCATCGTCCTCCGCCTGTTGCTCGTCGTCGTCCTCTAGTTCGAGCTCCAGCTCCCACACCAGAGTACGTAAAAGTTCTAATCCGCCCTTACAGCCAATTGCCAGTCGCCAACTGTCACCGACACCACCGCCACAACAATTGCCACCACCAGCGCCCAACCACAACAACAACAGCAACAACACCAACAATCACGCAGCAGCCACAACAACCACAAACCACAACAACACCAACAGTAACAGCAACAACAATCACAAGAAAAATGTGCGCGAAATACCCATAGAGGTAGAGCAGAGCAAGGTATAACAGTATAACAGGGGTTGTACTACAGGGAGGGTGTGAAATCTCAGGGAAAAAAGTTAACCATTTAAAATTACGCGTATAACAGTTTGTATAACACTTTTAAACTGTTATACACACTTGTTTTATCTGAAGATACTACAAACTATGTAAATAACTTTAATTGACAGTTGCACAACTGCAAAAGGCAGTCCCATAAAGTGTTATATGTCCCATCAAAAATTCCCAACATTTCCCCTTGTATGTTTATAGATCTTTGATGGTAAATCCCGTCTATGTGCAGCATGTTGTCTATTCTTCCCTCTGTTATTATTAACTGTACTAACTGTTATACTCCTCCTTTATGTTCAAATTTAGGAGGCCCTGTCGCTGCGCACCGGCGACATCACACAACAGGCGAGCAACAATGTGGCCGCCGCCAGTATTAAGGTGCAGAGCGACACCTTCTCCGCGGACAAGAAGGCGATCTCGCAGTCACAGCAATCACAGACCATGACTTCGAATGGGATCATCAGTCAGGAGAAGCACGTGTCCTCGGCCTCGCAGGCCAACTACTCGATGACCCACAAGGGCGTATCCAGCTCCGGCAGCAGCATGATCACCTCCTCCTCCCAGATGTCCGCAATGAATGGCCAAATGATGAAACTGGCGGACCTCAAGCTGGACGACCTCAAGTCCCTGACGTCGGGCAGTGGCCAGCAGGAGATCGAACAGACCATCAACAAGTATTCGAATGTCCTCACCTCCTTCGTCAGTTCGCTGCAGGACGATGAGAGCGGAAGTGGCAGTGGAAGTGGGAGCAACGGGCACGCTCAGCCACTGAATGTGGGCAAGGAGAAGACAGAATATCTGGAGAAGATCAACGAAGTGATCCGCAGGGCCTGGGCTGTGCCCACCCACGGCCACGAGCTGGGCTACTCCCTGTGCAATTCGCTGCGCCAGAGCGGCGGCCTCGATCTGCTCATGAAGAACTGCGTCCACAAAGACCTCACGCTGCAGTTCTCCTCCGCGCAGCTTCTGGAGCAGTGCCTCACCACGGAGAACCGCAAGCATGTGGTAGACAATGGCCTGGACAAGGTCGTCAATGTGGCCTGCGTGTGTACCAAGAAGTCCAACATGGAGCACTCGCGCGTCGGCACGGGCATCCTGGAGCATCTGTTCAAGCACTCGGAGGGCACCTGTTCGGATGTGATTCGGCTGGGAGGCCTCGATGCTGTGCTCTTCGAGTGTCGCACCAGCGACGTGGAGACGCTGCGGCACTGTGCCAGCGCGTTGGCCAATCTGTCGCTGTATGGCGGGGCGGAGAACCAGGAGGAGATGATACTGCGCAAGGTGCCCATGTGGCTGTTCCCGCTGGCCTTCCACAACGACGACAACATCAAGTACTACGCGTGCCTGGCCATTGCCGTGCTGGTGGCCAACAAGGAGATCGAGGCGGAGGTGCTGAAGTCCGGCTGTCTCGATCTGGTGGAACCCTTCGTGACGAGCCACGATCCTTCGGCATTTGCCCGCTCGAACCTGGCGCATGCGCACGGCCAGAGCAAGCACTGGCTGAAGCGTCTGGTGCCGGTGCTCAGCTCGAATCGCGAGGAGGCCCGCAACCTGGCCGCCTTCCACTTCTGCATGGAGGCGGGCATCAAGCGGGAGCAGGGCAACACCGACATCTTCCGCGAAATCAACGCCATCGAGGCACTGAAGACGGTGGCCAGCTGCCCGAATGCCATCGCCTCGAAGTTTGCCGCGCAGGCGCTGAGGCTCATCGGGGAGACGGTGCCGCACAAGCTGTCGCAGCAGGTGCCCCTGTGGTCCGTCGAGGATGTGCAGGAGTGGGTTAAGCAGATCGGGTTCAATGGCTACATCGACCGGTTCGAGGAGTCCCAGGTGGACGGCGATCTGCTGCTGAAGCTCAACCAGGACAACCTGCGCGACGACATTGGCATCGGCAATGGCATCCTGCTGCGGCGCTTCGAGCGCGAACTGCAAAATCTCAAGCGCATGGCCGACTACTCATCCAAGGACACGGCCAAGATGCACCAGTTTCTCTCGGAGATCGGCACCGACTACTGCACCTACACATACGCCATGCTGAACGCGGGCATCGACAAGTGCGCCCTGCCGCACGTCAACGAGGACATGCTGATGACAGAGTGCGGCATCCACAACTCCATTCATCGTCTGCGCATCCTGAATGCCGTCAAGAATCTGGAGAACTCCCTGCCCAGCTCCTCCGAGGAGAACATGGCCAAGACGCTGGACGTGTTTGTCAGCTACAGACGTTCCAATGGCTCACAGTTGGCCAGCTTACTGAAGGTAAGGACACACAGGGAGAGATGGAGGAGAAGTATATTAAATTGGTTTGCTCTTTGCAGGTTCATCTTCAGCTGCGTGGCTTCTCGGTGTTCATCGATGTGGAACGCTTGGAGGCGGGCAAGTTCGACAATGGACTCCTGAACAGTATTCGGCAGGCAAAGAATTTTGTTTTAGTATTAACACCCGATGCCCTGCATCGCTGCATTGCCGACGAGGACTGCAAGGATTGGGTGCATCGCGTAAGTGCCTGGAAATTGACGTCAAATTTGTACTCAAGAATGGTTTGTCCTCCTGCTTTTTGTGTAGGAAATTGTGGCTGCTTTGCAATCGAACTGCAATATAATACCCATTATGGATCAGCACTTTGATTGGCCGGAGGTGGAGAGGCTTCCGGAGGATATGCGCAGCGTGGCGCACTTTAACGGCGTCAACTGGATCCATGACTACCAGGACGCGTGCATAGACAAGCTCGAAAGGTATATTAAGCGACGCATTTAATTAGAGGCGCATAGGATGCATTTTTGGGGATCTGGCTGGGATCCAACTCAGTCTTTCAATTGTCTCAAGAAACTCAAATAATTCCCATTCTTCTGATGCGGCAGATTTTTGCGCGGCGAAAAGAATATCGATCGCATTGCGGCCATGGTGCCTGGGACGCCCGAAGCGGTGTCGTACCGACGAATGCACAGCAACGATTCCGACTACCAGAGTGGAGGAGTGGGCGGTGGAGCATCATCCGGCGGTGGAGGAGGCATCGGAGGCGGCGGTGGTGTTGGCGGCGGCGGCGGCGGCACAGCGGGCAGTGTGGTGGATGGCCTGATGGCGGCCAATGGCAGCGGACAAGGTGGGCCAACAACGAGTAGTACTACTCCCAAGAACTCCAACTCCAGTTCAAGTTCAAATGCAAGTTCAAATGCAAATGCAAATCCCAACCGGAGCCAGAGTCCGGCGTAGAGACCCCCCATTACAAAAATCCCTAAAAACAAAAGAGAAGAGCCTCTCGATCGACCTCCCCTCGAATATGTCTTAAGGTTAAAGCGGAGATTCTCCTCAAGTTACGGGTCAAAGTTCTCAAGCCTTTGAGCCTTTGCACTACTCACTCTCTCTCCCAATCAATCCCCAATCTCTCTCTCTCTCACCCACTGACACCCACACACACATTACTCTCTCTCTCTCTCTTTTCTCTCTTACTCTCTACCACCTAATAATGATAATAATACTTTAATTCTGATTGCAAACAAACAAACAAACAACACCACTCTCGAAACCACTCGCTAAAAACTCGCTCGAAACTCGCAGCTAATCACCAGGCAAATAGATACCGGCAATCCCCCTCACCGGCCCGCCAACGGGGCAGCACCTCACAGCTGAGCGGCTACGCCCGGCACGGAAAACGCTCCAACATTCTGCCACCGTATCGCACCCAGCAGGCGGCATTGCTGCACAAGTCCGGAGCAGGATCGGCCTCCATGCAGAACATGATGCCGCTGGCATATCTGCCGCCGCGCCGCAGCTCGGCCGCTGGTCTGGGACACAGCGCGGCTGGCATGGGCAGTGGCTATCGGTCGCACAGCGTGGACGGGCTGCTGGACCAGGCATCGGCCAGCCAGAGCAGTCTGGCCACGCCCGAGCAGAGGATTGCGGCTGCGGCGGCCATGGTGACGGCCGGCAGCACGGCATTGACGAATGCCAGCTCCACGTGCACCCTGCAGCCGGAGGAGTACGAGGAGCCAGCGGACACGGACACCTGCGACCATGTGACGAGGCGAGAGAAGCGACTGGCGCCACCGGCGAATGTGCAGAGCCATCGCAAGTCGCGCAGCTTGGATCACATCCTGTCGAAGCAGACGCTGGCCGAGCTGCTGCCGCCGAGCATTGAGCCCACGGACGAGACGCAGAGTATGCAGAATCTGGCCATGCCAATGACGCCGCAGCCACAGCGACGCGATCAGAGCTCCTCCTCGAAATCGCCGACGCCAGAGCGACCACCGCAGCCGCACTACAGTCGCCAGAGTCCCGAGGGCGTCAGCTCGACGGAGAGCGAGCGTGAGGATGGGCAGTCGCTGAAGGTGCACAGCCAGGGGCATGGGAACCAGCAGCGGGCAGCGGCGCATGTGCATCGGGGCGGGAGCCTGAACAGCAACAAGACGTCGAACTCGTCGCTGGGCTCCAACAACAGTGCCAGCAACAACAAGACCATCTTTAATCGTACGATGAAGAAGGTTCGCTCGCTGATCAAAAAGTAAGCCAAATCGTAAGCCAAGCAAAGCCAAAACGTTGAGCAAAGCGAAGCTGTCTTGACGCGTCTCACTCGCTACTTCCACTCATACTCTAGTTTAGTAATTCGCTCACTAAGTGCCTGTAACTCGCTACTCGTTGCATCCAAAACCGAATCTCATGCATTTCCCATACTCATACTCGTACTCGTAATCGTACTCACATAATCATCAGTCTAACCCCACCCCTGGGCCCCCTCACAACACCCCTCTCTGTCTCTCCACTCGCTGTACTTCTCTGTCGCTCAACTCTCTGTCTCTATCTCTGGTGTTGGTACTCTCTCGCTAGCTAGTTATCGCCCGCCACTCGTTGTTTATACTCGTTAAGCTAAGCCATCCTCTAAAACTCGCCTGCGTTGCCAAAAACAAAACCGAACGCCTCTCCTCCACCCCTCCATCTTTCTCTCTCTCTCTTTCTCTCTCTCTCTCTAGAAAGTCTATTTGCCTTGTGATTAGTTGTTGATTTTTGATAAATTAACAAAATGTTTTTTTTTATTGTGTGACAAATGAGTAAGCGAATTTAAAGTGCAATTGATAAACTAATTAATGAGAAAAGAAACCACAAAACAACATTAACGACTGCATTACCACGAAACCTAATTTATAAACAAACAAGAAACAAAAATACAACACACAAAAACGCACCCACCCCCTCTATACATATGTATGTAATGTTCTATTTATAGTTAATTATGTATTTTTAAAATTTGTATATTTATTTCGTATTTCGTATTTGTTCTTGTAACCGTCCGCAAAAAACAAAACAAACGTAAAAGTAAAACAAAAGTAAAGTGGCTTGAAACGAACCTATTTAAGTGATATTTAAACGATAAACGAAATTGATTTGATGCAAAATTTACAAAGCAAGCAACAAATGCTGTACAATACTTAATTTTTAGCATATTTTAATTGATTTTGCAATACATAGATACACAAACATATACATAAATAAACATATATTTAATGTTTAAATAGCGCCTACAAAGTCGCCTACTAAGTGCCTCGAAACAATTTAATTTAAAAACAAAAAACAAACCAGCAAAAAAAAAAGAAAGAAAACGCAAGAGAAAAGATAGAACAAAAACTACAAAAAGAATAAAAAAATGTGAATTAATAAAATGAAATGTGTATTATTTTCACCTGCCCCAGCCCCCTGCTTTATCAGTCCATACTCTTTCATCCGCATGTTCTCATTCCCCATTTTCGTTTCGTTTCGTTTTGTGTGTTTTCGTGCAGCTAACTGAATTTTCATTAGCTTTTATTTTTTATTTCTGTCTTCATTTGTATATTTTTTCTCTCTATTTCTTTATTTTCTTCCTCTCTTTCTATTTCTCTCTATCTGGATTCTGTTTTGCAGACCATGAGAGCAAAATTGGCACCTGCTGCAATTCGTTGTAACTGTTGTTATCCCATGTGACTGTAATCCCGCCCGCCCACGCTCACGCTCGCACACCCAAACACACACACCACCACACCTGAGAATCATCGAAACAGCCCCCAACCACCCCCATCTCCTGAGGTGATCGATGACCAACCCCATCAGATGTCTCGACCAACAACCAACATTCATATTGTTATTTATTATGAAACCAAAATAAACAAAAGATCAAAAGAAACACCAATAACATTAGCTGTAAATACATATGTATGTATGATAAGTGGTACGTGTTAACTGTAAACCTAATGTGTCTCTGCTTACCCCTTACACCCGCCGCAATGCGCGTAACAGCAACGAACTGGAGGACGAGGAGCTGTCGGGCATCATTCTGGCCAAGGCCACTTCCCCAAATGCTGGCCGCATGATATTCTGGTAGCACACACACTCAACGAATTTCACCAAGACGATACTGTACATAAAACGATTTAAAGAATAATAAAACGAACATTTTAACGATACAGCATTTGAGTCCTCCGCGCAAGCAGACCTTTGCAACACCATCGAGTGTCGTTTTAGTGCTGTAAGCCTCAGTTTACATTTTTGGTTTAATCCTTATTTTGTAAACAGTCCAATAAAAATAGGTCATGAAAACTAGCCAATCGTATGCAGAAGTGATTCATAATTCGGACAAAATTCTTGACTTAGCACTGAGAGTCCTAGCTAGTTTGTAATATTAAGCGGAATATTAAAATCAAGTAAAATAATATAGGATATACGGTATATTTACGGTATGTTTTGAAAATGAAAAGGTATATTTCGGTATACTTCGGAGGGTCAGGCGGTGTACATATATTACCAATAACGAATCGTTTTTTGGACAGCACACAAGTAGGCCTGTTTCTGGAAATTTCTACGATTTCCATTTTTCATTCGGTTTCACAAATTTGTCTAGAGCACATCGATTTTCGAACAACAGAAAGTACGATCTAAAAAATAAATAAATACATTTCGTAAATCGAATTGAATACAGGTTCAAAATTGAAATGGCAAAGAATATTGAGGACATAATGACCTACGAGCCGGCTGACGCTCTGGTTTTTGAGGGGCCGTTCGACAAGTATGTCAAGCGCCAACTGGTCATTCGCAGTCTCTCGGATAAGGATATGGTCTACAAGATAAAGACAACCTCGCCGCGCCTGTTTTACGTTCGTCCGAATATTGGTCTACTTACTGCCAAATCGACGGTCAACATCGAGATCTACATGCAGCCGAAGCTGTCTACTGTCCCGAGCTCCCTTGCTAAACATCACAAGTTTCTCATTGTGGCTGGCGAAGCTACTGAAGATGTAGAAGACTTCCACGGATTTTTTAAGCAGCTTGACCCCGCCAACACTTGGGAGGGCAGGGTCCGCTGCTTTTTGGTGCATCGTCAGCCGGAGGTTATCGACACTCTTGTAAACGAATTGGCAGAGCCCATCCGCCAAACTGCTGGCGGGGTGGATGAAGTAGAAGTAATGAACGACGCCCTGCAGGGCGACGAACTGGAGGACCTAAACATGACGAAGGAAAAGGTGACCCCTCTGGAGGAGGAAATCAAAGACATACGCGGTACTACTGAGAACGTGGAGAAGGCCAAGGAAAATCGTTGTGCCAATCGTTCCAGTAAACTGTTCATGTTTGTGGCTTCACTTGTCACCGTCGGTGCCGTCATCCTTATCACCCACTCTGGCGAATATGCCATACAACGTATTAAGCAAGTCTTTTAAACCATAGTTATGTTAAAATCATTAAAAATAAATAATTACAAACGTAATTCCTGCGGAATCCCCTACGTAACATCATGCAACAACAAAATTCAAATGGCGGGTAATAGTGGCGGCCCAACAGCCGATTCGTTTGAATCAGCAATCGATAAGTCGTGACTGTCCGGACAAATTAAAAAATATTAATAATTGAAATAAAAAAGTCTACAAATATCTAAAAAGGTATTTAAAATCTCTCAGTACTGTAGTGGATGGTATCTTGAACTGAGTTTCGCTCTTCTTAAAACATGTATTTGTGATTTGTGTGGTTGGAATCTGCACAATATTCATCGATATTATCGATCGTTTAACAGCCCTAGTTTCCGCAAGCTTTTTGCAAGTTCCAGCTCGAAACCAGCTCTAATTTGCGTGTTTTGGTAATGAGTCTTTCGACTAAGCCCTATTTTATAAATAATCAAATGAAAATGAGTACTTAAAACTGGCAAATCTTTTAGGAAATTGATTAATTTATCGCATAAAAATATATAATCAGTGCTGAGGGCTGCAGATAGCTAGTAATCACAAGCCGAATTTCAACATCGAGGAAATATCAACGAAGGCTGCGCTGTCGCCGTCGCTGCTGTGTATTGACACACACGTATTTTATACGAAAACAGGCATATCTGAATATTATTGTAAATATCGAGGTGCTAGTCAACAACAATGTCCGCGCGCATGCTAAAGAAGCTGCAGGGCGACGCTGACAAGCTGCCACCGCCGCCCGATGACGAAGGGGGAGAGGAGTTGAGCGACAATGACGAGCTGGAGGACTACCATACGGTCAGAGATCGCAAATCGCATTTAAATCCATTTGATCTGGTACGTAACAACGCAATCCACGACTGCCAGCTCAACGTTTCAACGCGTGACATTCCATTTCAGTTGAATCAGCCCGACCTAAGTCTTTCGGAGAGCGAGTTCAAGGAGGATGACAACGAGACGGAGCACCCGTCGGCTGCACTGCCCAATGCCAGTGCTGCCGCCAAAAAGAAGAAAAAGAAGCGCAAGAAGAAGGTCAAGTCCAGCGGCAATCACATCAGCAGCGAGGACAACGAGCGGCAGGACAAGTACTACGAGAAGGATCCACTTCTGGGCAAAGTGTACGACGCAGTGCCCAGGCAATCGATGAAGCAGCAGGCCGCTGCTGCCGCTGCCGGCGGATCGGCCAAAAATAAGCTACTTAACGTGGAGCTGCGACACCTCAATTCACACAACGAGATGCGACGCACCTTTGGCAAGCGGGTGGTCAAAGTGGAGTAAGTGAAGCCCGTACGAAGCTTCCTGTATCTATTTTGATGTATTTATTTTTGCACAGAACCAAGCGTGGCCGCCAGAAGCCCACGCTGAAGTCCACGTACATGGTAACGGCCAGGGAATCGTGGCCACCGCTGACCAAGAACACTATCACGATGCAGCTGCTGCCGACCATCGAGTTGCCCAGCACCTCAAAGTCAAAGCAGATCAGCGACAACGATGCAGTGCAGTGGTTCGCATTCGAGCACAGTCAGTACTACCAGGGAGTGCAGCACATGTTCCTCTCTGCCCTGGAGGGCATCGATTCGGAGTTTCTGATCACGCTAATCAAGCGCTGTCCGTACCACGTGGACTCGCTAGTGCAGCTGAGCGAAGTGTGCAAGATGACCGAGGACTTTGCCCTGGCCGCCGAACTGCTGGAGCGCGCACTGCTGCTGCTGGAGTCGTCGCTGCACATCAACTTCAGCCTGACGTCTGGCAACTGCCGGCTGGACTATCGTCGCCAGGAGAATCGATCCTTTTACATTGTGCTATTCAAGCATGCCCAATACCTGGAGGAGCGTGCCTGCAGCCGCACAGCGTTTGAGATCTCCAAGCTGCTGCTGAGCCTGCAGCCCGAAACGGATCCGCTGGCCATGATTCTGGTCATCGACTACTATGCGCTGAGGAGCAAGCAGTTTGGCTGGTTGGTGGAATTCTATGAGGAATACAATGCGCGCCGGAATCTGTCACAGCTGCCCAACATGGCCTACTCCTACGCCCTGGCCCTGTACACGCTGCACGGCGCCTGTGAGCGCTCCAACGAGGCGCTGCAGTACGCACTCCTCATGTTCCCGGCCGTGCTGCGACCACTGCTCGACGAGATGTCCGTGCAGACAGACAAGCGTGTGCTGGCCTCGTCATACTTCTTCTCGGATGTGTCGGGAAAGTGAGTTCAAGAGGCTTCGCTTTCGATTAACGCTATCTAATCACTCTCTGCTCTCCCTGCTGCCCAGTCAATCGCCCGCCCTGCATCAGCTTGTGTGCTTGTATGTGTGCCGTGCCCGAGTCGTTTGGCGTTCGACCGAGGTGCTGCCCTGGCTGGAGTCCAATGTGAACGTAGTGCTCGATCGCATCGACGCCAAAGAACCCGTCGTAAATCAATACAAAGAGAAACGTTCCGTGCGCTATGGCCGCACACCGCCACGACCCATTCTGCGGCATGTGATACTCTCCGACTACAAGGAGAAGGTGCCCCTGGCCGTCTTTGTGGCCAAGGAGAAGCAGGCGATTATGACCTACGACCCACTGCCACCACCAGACAGTGTCAATTGCTATCAGCGGTACGACAAATGCCGATTGCCAGCAGCAATTTTGATTTTAATTTGAAATTCTTTGCAGCAAGTCCTCATCCAGCAGCAGTCCTACAAACAGAGCCAGTAACTCTGTTTCAATATTTTTCCAATCCCTTTTGCCATCGTTTAATGTGAGCAACATTGCGGCGGTAGCAGAAGGAGAAGCTCGAGGAGCATTTGAAGCCGGAGCCGCAGCTGCAGTGGAGATGGCCATGCCAGCCAACGGCGAAGGTTTGTTTAGGCTTCCCATCCCGTAGCTAAAATAATTATTAATTATTATAAACAGCAGAAGTTGGCCTACAGCAGTCGCTCACTTTGATGATGGATGCCATGCGGGATTTTCTGCAAAACTTTCGCGTTGCGGAGCATCTGCGCTCACCGGAAACGGCAGCAGCACAATCGAGCAGCAGCAACGACGAGGAGGAGGGCTCCAGCGACTATGTGGATTAGTAGTCAATTATCTAAAGTAATGGCTTGAAAAAAGACACCGAACCTTTTTGCTATAGTCCCTCAGCTAAACCAGACACCGTCACAAAATTTATATAAAATATTTTAAAGGATTTATACTTATACATATATAGAGCAATTTGAACACAGATACAACAGAACGAACAATCGCATTGAATAAAAATTTTCCAGTACAAGCTTCCAGATCAAAGGAGCCAGTCACCGTTTTTGAGCTTAAAGAATGTTTTATTGATTTATTTAATGCCATTTCAATTATGCCTTATCAATATAACAAACAGATTTCTCCACAATAATTCATATCATTATTTTTCCTTTTGTTTTCTTTTCTCATTCAGTTTTGTCTTTTCTGTAAACCTTTTTTGTTTCGCTTCGCAGTTATTGCATTTATAAATAGTAATTACTATGACAAGTACAGCGATCTTTTCCATATATAAGAGTGAAGTTTATAGAGCAAGGGAGCTGGGGGGGGGGATATGTGTTTGTGATAGACACACATTACCTTATAGAGTAGCAAACGTTTAACTGGCAGACATTGGAGTTGTTGTTTTAAGCTTAGAATTAGAGCGAAAACTTAGAAAACTTTACACAATTCGTAGACACAATTTAAATGCTAAACACATAAAGGGGGATGGCTAATACTTTAGCTTGTGGAATACATCATTATCAAAGCAAAACAGAATCAAATCTATAATTGAAATCATTAAATAATAACCGCTGCTGGTTCGGATCAGATCAAATTATGTCATGGTGCCAAAGACGGGATTGTGACGACAAATGCTGGGACCATACTCCTCGTAGGCGGCCTTTGTATGACAAACCTGATAGAACTCGGGCTGTAAGTAGAGGTAGAACAGTAAACATTAAAAGAACTCTTGCCGCTGGCGTTTCTAGCTCACCGTTGAGGCCAACATGCTGCCGCCAAACCACACTGCATACCGCTGCATGTGATGCGTAATCACTTGAACATCAATTGGTTTTGGCTGTGGAAATACAAATCTCAGATTATGACTCATTCGCGAGAGGGAGATTATGACTAACCTTAATGCGTCCCTCCGACAAGTTCTCGCTGATGCGTAGGCGCGTGTCCACCGATCGCTTGATGTCGCGCTGCAGACGCCTACCAAAGTCCTTGAACATGGTGGAGCCACCGCTGAGGACAATGTTGTTGTACAGCGGACGCCTCACATCGATGGGGCAGTTCTGTATAACATTGTCGACAATCTCGGAGAGCGGTATGGTAAAGTCGGGATTCGAGAACTCGGGATGGAAGAAGATCTCGGGCCCCAGGAAGCGTTCGTAGCCGACATCGACATTGAAGGGGGACTTGGTGACCGTGTTGACGCCCGAAAAGTTGCGTATCCATTTACTTGGCTCTGAGTCGTACTTGGCAAACTCTTTGGCAATGTCGGGGCAGATGTAGCAGTGCTTCTCTTTGATCGCTTTGGCAGTTTCGAGGCTTTGTTCGGGCGGTATGCCCACCTCCCGTTCACGCAGCAAACTCTGGATAAACGATGTGATATTACGTCCAGCAATTGGAATGTGCTTGATGCAGGAGCCAATAACGTAGCCCTCAGCCTAAGAAAAGAGAGAGACATGGGTGTGTAAATGCTTCGGTTTTTTGTTGTTTCTTCCAACAGAAAATATTTGCTGATAAGATATGGACATGGGCGGGCGCTGTATTTACCACTGGTATGACGTGCGTCACTCCATCGCCACTGTCCACCACAATGCCGGTGAGGGTGCGCTCCTCGGCGGATCTGGAAGCCCAACTGGCGGCCAACGCCAGCACCGCCTGCACTGCGATATACAGGCCAGGAACATTGAATGTTTCGAACATTATTTCCGCCGTATACTCCCGGTTCTCGGGCGTATTTAGGGGCGGCTCAGTCAGCAGGAAGTAGTGATCCTCGGGCTCCGCTCTCAAGTACTTGAAAATGCACTGCTCCAGGAAGCGCTCCATTAAGTCCCAGTCCTCCACCAGACCATGACGCACCGGGTACTGCAGAGGCGATAATAAAATTGTAAAAAATTCTACCGATAGTCTTATCAGTGCCGCTGCATACTTTGATGGAGTAACCAGTGGCATCGAAGGCTTCATCGCCAATGAAAAAGTCCAGGTCCTCTATGCCCTTTGTAATGCGCCGCGTATTGGTGTCGCCTACGCGGGCCGACTCCTTGATGGCTATGGCCGAGGGGATAATGAACTGCGGCTCCTTGTTGCCAGCAAATCCCATCTTTGAGTAGCTGCAAACGTAAACATCGGAATCAGACAGACGACCTATTTATTTTTTTTCCAATTGGAGACCGACCCCCGCAGGCTGCGGCGGCGACGAAACTTACCCGGTGCCCACATCGATTACGCATGCCGGTAGCCTGCCTGTCATTGTCGCTGATGTTTGTGCTTGTGTTTCTATCAAACAGGCTGAATTCAACTATTAGCTCACGACTAACACCAATTTAAATCCGTTTCTCTGGCTAATAAACACTAAATTTTATATATTTTCAACCACACCTCCGCCAAACGATGTGTCACTTTAGTGTGACCTTTATCAACAAAGTATACCGTCTGACCATTGCAAATATACGGAAATATACCGTAAATATACCGACCCATCTTGCCGGAAATTGATTCATCCATCTGATCAAAATAGATGTTCGGTGCAGAAAGTCCTAAATATCTAGTAATAGTAAACCTTATATAAAAATCAGCGAACATGATTTCCCATCGAAAAAACAGAACGTGTGTCCATTGTCGACCAGCGGAGTTTGGCAATCATTTCGGTATATTTCCGAGGGAGCAGCAGTATATTCCATTGCGTATTCCGCGGTCCCACTGTTCCCTATACACGCTCGTCTCGCAAATTTCGGCGGTGTGTGTGTGGCCGTCATAGCCTTTTCCACGTTTTTCCTTATTGCTATATAGGGTGCATATATCTGCAATTAGGCCCTTGCCGTGGCGTTGTGTGGCAATTTGTTAAACAAATAGAGCAACTCGCGGGTGCTTTGTGGGCGCATTGGTTCTTTGCAAAGGAGCAGCAGCGACCGGCAAATCGTGCATTCAATAGGAAATAAGCAAGAGCGAGAGAGAGGCGACCAACGACTAGGCGAAAATGGAGGCACAAAAACTCACGGAACTGTTGCGCGCAACTATTGATCCGAATCCCGAGCAGCGCAAGGCCGCCGAGGATCAACTGGCCCAGGTATGTCCTTAATTCTGAATCCTCCCTCCCCCCTGCAGCGCGACAAACAAATGCAAAATACCTTTGCGAATGGCGCCATCGTCGAAAACCATGTGCTTTTTTAATTGTTCGCTTTTAACCTCCCATCCCATCCCTCTCTTTCTATCATTGCACTGCACATTGATATGTATGTGTGTGCGTGTGTCAGTATCTCCATGTGTGTGTGTGGTTGTGGGTGTAGCGGGTGAAATGGGGCCTCTCCCTCCACCAACAGTAAAATGATATCGGTCGAAGGAGAAAGGGCAACTTTATTGGTTTTAACAATCATCTATCAATAACCTTCTGGCAGGCAGGGGAGTTCCACCGCGCCCATTGCCTGCACCGCAACAAGTAATTTTTCCCCCGATTTCATGTATGGCAACCATAGCCAGGCTCCAGCCTGGTACTGTGGGTGTGGAATGTGTTTTATCCGTTACATTTTGAAGTCTATTTTGCACTCTTACGCAATCAAATTTCCAGATTAAACGAGTTTCCAGCTTGCAGAGCGGAATCTTAATTAGAGACATTTTCATTTGACATCAATTATCCAATTGCTTTGGCTCCACTGTTCCATGGGCATGCTCATTAAAACTGAGTCAGCATCTAACGATTTGCATGCTAGTCCCTCCCACCACCCCCTAACTCGTAATTGTATTGGTTAATTAACTTTATCAGCATTTATGGGAAATTGTCGTCGAGCCACTGGCGGCTCGGCGGCTCTGCTGCCTCTCTGCCCATATTCATTGGAGGATTGCGAACAGAATTTAAAGTGGTGGCTCGGCTCGGGTCGGCCGGCGGGTGCCATCGATACGGCATTGGGATTGCTTAACCCATTGTGGCCCGCATTACTCATCCCGCCCCACCAATGCCAGCGCCAACAGCTGTGTAAACAAATCAAGGAAAATGGGGAAAATAATTTACATTTGATTTTCATTGAATTTCTCTTTCGCAGATACACAAAATCATTGGATTTGTGCCCACCATACTTCAGATTGTTATGCAAACGACACTGGAGCAGCCGGTGCGGCAGGCGGGCGCGGTCTACTTGAAGAATCTGATCAACAGCAGCTGGTCGGACCCTGAGGCAAAGCCGGGTGAGCCCATACCATTCTCCATACACGAACAGGATCGGGCCATGATCCGTGGCACCATTGTGGATGCCATTGTGCATGCCCCCGAATTGATCAGGTAAGCAAGAGGCTCGTAGGGCTTTTCCTCCTGACTAACTTTCGGCTTTGTTTTGTTCTCTCTTCAGGGTTCAGCTTTCCGTCTGCGTTAATCACATCATCAAGAACGACTTCCCCGGTCGCTGGCCCCAGGTGGTGGACAACATCAGCATCTATCTGCAGAACCAGGATCTGAATGGCTGGAATGGAGCGCTGCTCACCATGTACCAGCTGGTGAAGACGTACGAGTACAAGCGATCCGAGGAACGGACACCGCTCAACGAGGCCATGAATCTGCTGCTGCCGATGATCTATCAGCTGATAATCAGGCTGCTCAACGAGCAGTCAGAGCAGTCGGTTCTCCTCCAGAAACAAATACTCAAGATCTACTACGCCCTCACGCAGTACAGCCTGCCGCTGGATCTCATCACCAAGGAGATATTCTCGCAGTGGATGGAGATCTGTCGCCAGATAGCGGATCGCGAGGTGCCCGATTGCTCGCACCTGGACGAGGACGAACGCACCGAATTCCCCTATTGGAAGACCAAGAAGTGGTCCCTACACATCATGGTCCGAATGTTCGAACGGTGCGTTGAACTACGTCCCAAAGGAACCTAATTATTGTTACTCTCTTCATTCATTTTGTAGCTATGGCAGTCCCAGCAATGTGGTTAGTGAAAAGTACCAAAAATTCGCTGAATGGTATTTGCCGACCTTCAGCCAAGGTGTTCTGGAGGTGCTCCTAAAGATCCTCGATCAGTACCGCAATAGAGTCTACGTCTCGCCGCGTGTCCTCACCGATGTGCTGAACTATCTCAAGAATGCGTTAGGATCCATGACTTTCTGCTTCTCTTTTTGACTTGCTCTAATAATTTCCTGTTTGCAGCGTTAGCCACGCGTACACCTGGAAGCTGATCAAGCCACATATGGTGGCTGTCATACAGGATGTCATCTTTCCCATTATGTCCTTCACGGACTCCGATCAGGAGCTGTGGGAGAGCGATCCCTATGAGTACATTCGCTTGAAGTTTGGTAGGCAGAGAAAACGAATCCCATTCAATCTCTGTGGCTAACTTTGTTTCCTTTTGCAGATATTTTCGAGGATTATGCTACACCCGTGCCGGCTGCCCAATCGCTGCTGCACTCCGTCTGCAAGAAGCGGAAGGGTGTCCTGCCCAAGGCCATGGCCACAATTATGCAAATTATCACCTCTCAGCAGGCGGACAACAAGCAAAAGGACGGAGCCCTGCACATGATCGGCACCCTGGCCGATGTGCTGCTGAAGAAGGCTCTGTACCGGGACCAGGTGGAGTCCATGCTGACGACGTACGTTTTCCCCGAGTTCCAGAATCCCGCTGGACATATGAGGGCGCGTGCCTGCTGGGTGCTGCACTATTTCTGCGATGTGCAGATCAAGAATCCGCAGGTGCTGGCTGAGATCATGCGACTAACGACTAACGCTCTGCTAACGGACAAGGAGCTGCCCGTGAAAGTGGAGGCTGCCATTGGGCTGCAGATGTTCCTATCGTCGCAGGACGACGCGCCGCCCTATGTGGAGGCGCAGATCAAGGAAATCACCAAGGAGCTGCTGACCATCATCCGAGAAACGGAGAACGAGGACCTAACGAATGTCATGCAAAAGATCGTCTGCACCTTCACCACGCAGCTGCTGCCGGTGGCCACCGAGATCTGCCAGCACTTGGCCACCACTTTCAGCCAGGTGCTCGAGTCGGAGGAGGGTTCCGATGAGAAGGCCATCACCGCCATGAGTCTGCTCAACACAATCGAAACCCTGCTGAGTGTGATGGAGGAGCATCCCGAAGTGCTGCTCAATCTGCATCCCATTGTCATCAATGTGGTGGGTCACATATTCCAGCATAACATAACCGGTAGGAGAGAGGGAGAGCTCTGCTAAGAGTCAAAATAGGGACTGATTTCTAACCTTTATTTTCCCACACAGACTTCTATGAGGAAACTTTCTCGCTGGTTTACGATCTGACGTGCAAGGCCATCTCCCCGGAAATGTGGCAAATGCTCGAGCTTATCTATCAGGTATTCAAGAAGGATGGCATCGATTACTTCATCGACATTATGCCAGCACTGCATAACTATGTGACAGTGGATACACCAGCCTTCCTTTCCAATCCCAACCGTCTGCTGGCCATACTCGACATGTGCAAAACGGTACAGAGAAATAGCTCCCAAATCGAACCTTTTTCATTACAATTCTGTTCTCTCTCCCTCGATAGATGCTCACTGGTAATCCTGGCGAGGATCCAGAGTGCCATGCGGCCAAACTGATGGAGGTCATCATTCTGCAGTGCAAGGGACAAATCGATTCGGTGATACACATGTTCGTGGAGCTGGCATTGTCGCGGCTTACGCGTGAGGTTCAGTCCTCGGAGCTGCGCACCATGTGCCTGCAGGTTGTTATTGCGGCGTTGTACTACAATCCTCAGCTGCTGCTCACCATTCTGGACAAGATGTCGCAGCCGAATAACGAGCCAATTAGTTCGCATTTCATCAAGCAATGGCTGCACGACACCGACTGTTTCCTGGGGTAAGACTGTGGTCCCGCCTTTGTGTGTGTTTCCTGTTTAACCGCCAGTATTCCTTTTGCAGCATTCACGATCGCAAGTTGTGTGTCCTGGGACTGTGTACGCTCATCTCGCTGGGCGATGCCAAGCCGCAGGTGCTGAGTGAGGTGGCTGTCGAGATTGTGCCCTCGTTGATACTGCTCTTCGATGGCTTGAAGAGAGCCTACGAGTCGCGGGCACAGGAGGACGAAGAGGAGGAGGAGGAGGAGGATGGCGATGACTGTGAGGAGGCTCTGTCCAGCGATGAGGACGACATGGACGAAATGGCGCCCAACTACTTGGACAAGCTGGCTGAGTTCACCAAAGCGAAAGCGGGTGAGGCTGGCTTTGAGGTCAAGGCGGAGGTCAAAGATGATGATGATGAGTCGAACGATGATGCTGAGGAGTCTGTGGAGGACCTCAACGAGACGGGTCTCGAGACATTCACGACGCCAATTGATGACGAGGAGAACGATAGCGCAATCGATGAATATTGGACGTTTAAGGAAGTTATCACAGGTTCGTTTTCTAGATGATTCTGCCACAGAGATTTATCTTTACTGACTCCTGTGTTTCCCTTAGCACTTTCTGCCCAAGATCAGGCCTGGTATGCGCTGCTGACGTCAAACCTTACACCTGAACAGGCAAGGGCGCTGCAGGATGTGGTCGTGACCGCCGATCAGCGAAAGGCGGCCAAGGAATCGAAGTTGATCGAGAAGCAGGGCGGCTTCGCCTTCCCCCAGACAACAGTTCCCTCATCCTTCAAGTTCGGCTCCTAATTGAAGTGAAATTGACGCCACCCAACCAGAGACTTGGTTCGGTTTCTGACTTGATCGTTTCTCATATTCTTTCCAAAAACGAAAACAAAAAAAAAACAAAAAACACTAAAAACAAAACCCACAAACTAAAACACTGAATTAGGGCATGATGATTATAGCTTTAAGGCATTCTCTTGGTTTCCGTAGTACATTCTGTGTACTAAGCAGCATGCGCTGCCGCTGCGACAGTCCCCCGCCCCCTCCCTCGTACCGGGATAATCGCATATATTTATTGTAGATGTATATTTTTACTGTCTATTTCTTGGCAACTCCATGCCAACTAAATTATGATAACTTAAGTCGAAAAAAAGAGTCCACACTGTAAATCTTTGTATGTAAACGAAACGAGACAAAAGAAGACGAGGAAATCTCATCAAATGAGATTGTACGAACACCCCCGTCGTACGTCCCCCTACCAAGAACTCCGAAACAAATGGTCAGAGAATGATAATTCAACGCAGAGCATTTCACTTACATTTTCCTTACACACACACACAAAAACACACATTACGCGTATATTATGTAAATGGATCGATATTTTTGAAAAATAAAATCATTTTTAACGTTTGAAGTTGAAGGTAAATAAATTTAAATGTTTGCTGCTTTGACCGCCAACAAATAGAAAAAGAAAGCCAAAATGTCAACACCGGTAAGAGTGCTGTAGGTCGCCAAATGCATGACACTGCTGTTCCGGGTGATTTATGGTATATTTTGAGAATGCGGTATATTTGATCCGCGGTCACACTGACTATTATTGTTTACAAACCAAAATAACAATAATTTAAAGAAAAACATGAAGATAGCGATAGAAGGATGTGCGCACGGTGAACTGGATCGCATCTACGACACAATAGCATGCATTGAGAAGGAGAGCAACACAAAGATCGATCTGCTGCTATGCTGCGGCGACTTTCAGTCCACTCGCAATCTGGAGGATCTGCAAACGATGGCTGTACCGAAAAAGTACCTGGATATATGCACATTTTACAAGTGAGTAGCAACGAAAGTGCACTTTATATACCATTTATAACGTTCCCAAATGTCTTTTCAGATATTACAGCGGTGAGTGCGTAGCTCCCGTGCTGACCATTTTCATTGGCGGCAACCACGAGGCTTCGAACTATCTGCAGGAGCTGCCCTACGGCGGCTGGGTGGCCCCAAACATATACTACCTGGGCTATGCGGGAGTGGTCAATGTGAATGGCGTTCGCATTGCAGGCATCAGCGGCATCTTCAAGGGTCACGACTTCCTGCGCGGCCATCACGAGTTCCCGCCCTACACAGAGTCCACGTGCCGCAGTGTCTACCACGTGCGCCAGCTGGAGGTGTTCCGGCTGAAGCAGCTTTCGGGAAAGATCGACATCTTTCTGTCGCACGACTGGCCCACCGGCATCTACGAGTACGGCAACAAGGCCCAGCTGCTGCGGAAGAAGCCTTACTTTGCGGCAGACATGGAGAGCGGACAGCTGGGGAGTCGGCCGCTGGAGGAGCTGCTGAAGGTGGTGCAGCCATCCTACTGGTTCGCCGCACACTTGCATTGTAAATTTGCCGCCCTAGTGCCACACTGCAGCAGCAAAGTCCCAAGCAAAGGGGGTGACGGCGCTTCGAGCAGCAGCAGCAGCAGTGAGAGCGAAGATGAGGCGGAGGGTTCCACTCGAGCCTCGAGGCTGCCACCCAAACCGGTGGCTGTGACAAAGTTTCTTGCTCTGGACAAGTGCCTGCCACGACGAGCATTCCTCCAAGTGCTGGACATACCCAGCGAATCGACTGAAGGCGCGAGACCCACATTCGAGTACGATGCCGAGTGGCTGGCCATCCTGCAGAGCACAAATCATCTCATTTCGGTGAAGGAGAACTACTACTACCTGCCGGGCAAGAAGGCGGGCGCCATCACAGAGCGCTTTGATTTCACACCCACCGACGAGGAGCTGTCCGCGCTGAGCGCCAAATTCCAGAGCCTCACGATACCGGAGAACTTCCAGCGCACGGTGCCTGCCTTCGATCCGCAGCAGCAGCGCAACTACAAGCACCAGGCCGTGGGTCAGCCCAAGGCGCAGCTCAACCCGCAGAGCAACGAATTCTGTGCCGTCTTGGGCGTGGATGATCCACTCTGTCTGGCACTGCTGGCTAATGGCAAGGATCTGCCAGAAGTTGCAGTCGCAGACGTGGCGAAAAAGCCAGAGGAAACCATTGAGTTGGAGGCTGAAGAACCCATCGGAGAGAGCGCCTGCTCACCTCCACCGACTGAGCCAACTGAGCTGGTGGCACCCATCAAACGTAAACTGAACCTGTCCCTGCCAGCGCCGACTGTTACAGCTGTAAAAGATGACAACGTGATAGAGCTGCCCGAGGAAGATGAGCAGGAAGTGGCGCACGCAGAGACGACAGTCGAGGAAGCCATACCTCAGCCAGCGCCCGGCAGTCCGCCCAGCATCAAGAAGCTGAAGCGTCGCAACCAAAACATCTATCAAGCCGCAGACGATGAATAAATTCCCATCTGGGTATCCCGCCAAGAAACATGTTCCGTGACTGCGGAATGAACTTAAAAACAAAAGAGGGGGGCAAAATTTATTGAAATAACACAGAAAATGCTTGCTAGCTTGGGGTCCAGGGTCCACACTGCGCTTCACTGCGTCTCTGGCACGTTCTCGGCATAGGCTTCGTCCGCGCACTTGAAGGCACATTTCAGCACGGACTTTGGCGTGTCCACCACATCGCAGTAGTAGGTGGGCGGCGAGGGGATGCAGTGTAGCTGGAGTTGACCCGCTTCCACCAAGGGCTGATAGAAGCGGCAGCTGCGTGGGCCATAGAGGGGCATGTCCACGTCGTAGGGCGGACTGAGTATGTCGAAAAAGGCGGCCACACCGCCGCCCGCCTCGGTTATGTGGTGATAGTTTCGCTTGCGTGGCGTGAGCATGGCGCTGGGGCTGTGCTGTGACACCAGGCAGGGCTCCTCGGCATTCACCTTCACCACGACAGGGTCCGTGTCGTAGTGCAGCGGCTCATCGGGCCCCAGCTGCTGTGTGTAGCTTTGGACGAGCAGCTGGCCCCAGATGCAGCGCAGCAGGCCGAACATCATGGGATGATCGTGCAGGGGAATGGAGCTGGAGCCGCGCACAATGAACAGGCTCATGGAGAAGCGCTCGTCCTCGAAGATGTGCATGTAGCTGCAGGGCGCACGTCCCTGGGCCTGGGACGGCGCCCCCGAGTGGGGCCGGAAGAGGTCCTCCTTGATGTGAAGATCGCGATAGGTGAGCTCGTCTGTTAGCTGCTTCAGCAGCTGCAGATTGGCATTGAAACTGGCGTGGTTGGCCCGATCGAATGTCTTGAAGGCCTGCCGCAGAACATTCATGAAGTGGGTCGTCATATTGCTACCTGATTTGTTGGGTTTTATCAGTAATACACTCGTGTTGGTGCACTGACGTCAGACGTATTTTATCCCTAGCTGCACGTCCGCCCAGTGAGAGTTCGGAAAGCAACGGAATTGGCACCAAGCGACTAAAATTTTTGGGTCGCACGGCTACAAATCATATTGAGATAAACAAAAAGAATTCACAGCTGACATACGACAGTGTTGGGCAATGATTATCTTTCCACGATGGTTAAAATTTGATGTTTTTATTTAAATTTGAAGAAAAAGCTAGTTGTAATAGTGTATAATTGCAGAAGGACTAGAAGCCCCGTTCCTTGGACTGTGTGGCATGTGTCAGTATCCACGACTTGTAGTCGCGTTTCTTCATTGACATTTGCTTGTGGCGCGGATGCGTGGGGCAGATGACATAACCGCGTTCCTGGCGCACCACAATGTAACAATCCTTGCAGCGTCTCTTTAGGCGTCCCTTCACTTTAAACCCGGCAACCTGCTGCAGCAGCGTCGAGGCCGGTGTCAGCAGTCCTGTGGTTGCAACAGGACTTGTGTTGGCCACCAGTTGTATTTGGTTTCTGTTGTACATCGTTCCGGTTGTGTTGACCGTGGGACGCATTAGGACGTGAAAGCCACGTGCGGCACTGAGGCCACTCCACAGACGAGAAGTTTGAAGTAGTTTGCTAGCAAAGGACATCTGAAAATGGGGTTTTCATTGAAATTCCATCAAAATCGTTGGCAAAAACACTCACCTCTTGGCTAAATAAACCCTTGACCGATAACAACAACAATCTTTGATGATTAGCCAGCACTGGTTGCAATCGATAAATTTCTAAGCTTCTGCTAATTTGTGGTTTTAAAATTTCAAGTAGGAATAATACACATACAAATTAGCCTTTAGGTTATTCGCAGTTAAATGTTATTCATAGAATCGGTAGAATGCCTTTTATACAGTTATCTTCCATGGATCTTGTTAGAGTGTATGCTTAAACGGAAATATTCGATTGATTGTGCACTCAATATTGTGTTCAATCAATATTGATGACTTCCAATAGGGGATCGATTTTCAGGTCGGAGGGTTCGATCCTGGAACGCTTGCATTTTGTTGGGCCGGCTTCCTCCTCGTCGGACGAGTCCAGAATCTCTGTGATATCCTCCTCCTCTTCCATAGCTTCGCTGGGCTTGCGCTTGATGGCCGTCTTGGGAGTACTCTCCACGGAAAGGTTATCTGTGGCCACGATCATGACATCCTCATCGTTGTCCTCCTCGATCACCAGACAATCATCGTCGTCGTCGTCTTCTATTTCGGTGGGACGACTACGTTTCGAGGTGGAGGGACCATCATCTGCACCATTCGCTGAACGTTTTCGTTCCTCCTTTGCCTTGGCGGTTTCCTCTTCTGCTGTTTCCTTCTTCGGCTGCTCCTTTGTGGGCTGCAGCTGCTTGGCATCGGCCACCACCTCGAAGAGCGGATCATCTCGCTCTGCATTGAAGTGTGAGATAATTATGCTCAGATTGTAATTCTGATGGAAGTCGTCACAGCTGAGAATAGTGCCGTCAACAACGTTCAGTTCGTGCAGCAGCTTCGAGTCGTTCTCTGTCGTTTCATCCTCCTCCGAGGAGAGCAGAATAGTGGCGGTGCCCATCATATTCACATCTGGATGCAGCATGTTGAGTGTTTTGATCAGCACATCGTCGCGCAGCTCCTTCATATGCACACGCTTCGTGTCGATGCGCAGCGTAATGGCCGGATCTAGGGCGCAGACATAGCAATTGGGATTGGGGCCTGCCAACGAGGCGTCTGGCACGAGGAACTGGCCGCGTGCATTGGGCCGAAGGCGAGCATAGACAGCTTTGCACTGTTCCCATTTGGCTTGCAGCACATTAAAGGTTCGCAGCACAGAGATGCCAGCAGTGATGGCATTTGTTGTGGCAATGGCCGGAATAATATTCCCTGCCATTGACTTGATTTCGAATCTGGACTTGCGCTCAATGTTGAAGATGTAGGAGCGCACGTTGGCGCAGGCGGCCACAAAGTCCATGGCTGGCTGGTCGTCCTTGTCCCAGGAAAGCGTCTCTCCCTCTGCCTCCTGCTTGAGGAAGGCTGCAGCCAGCTCCTTCAGTGCATTGGCAAAGACATGGGCGCACTCCTCCACGGTCCATACCTTGTGATGCTGCCGTGCAAACTCTGGCTGGACATCAGTTGTGCCCTCGGGCACCAGAGTATCCCAGGAGACGGGCACTGGGGGCTTGCGCGACGTCCAGAGATGGGACATTTTTAGCAAGTAGTTGATGTCCTCATCGAAGAACTTGTTGAAGAGCTGCCCGGCATCGTAGTCGCAGTCCTTGGCCCACTGGCGAGTGTTGATGCGCACAACATTGCCATTGGTAGCGTCCTCCTCCTCCTTCTCCTCCATTGGCTTCTTCCCATCACCGTCACCGTCTCCACCTACAGCTGCATCTGCTTCTTGTGGCGGCCCCTGGGCATCAGGATCGGCAGCATCTGGCGAAATGTCTTCATCGTCGACCGATTCGCCAAAAAGTTGACTGAAATGGAGTGGCGTTAGTCTTAGAATTGATTATTGAATGGACTCTACTCACTTGAAGAGATGCTTGGCCCACACAATGCAATGGATGGGCTCCGAGGGAGTGTTGCGGATGGTGCAGCCTGGAAATGTGCGCTGCTTCTCCTTGGGCGTGCACTCGTAGCACTGGGTGAGGCCCCGCTTGATCAGCTCCACCTGTCCATTGTAGCCCGAGGTGCCACTCTCGATCAAAGGAACCTCCGCATTCAGACACATGCGATTCACATGATTGCGGGCGGCACGATTGTCCAGAGCGCTGAGGATCACATCAAACTTCTGGAAGAAGCTGACGCCGTACTGCGAGCTGCAAAGCAACAGTAGAGTACGGAAAAAAATACGAACAATTCATAGACACTTACGCTGTGACGCTGTCATGGTGCGCTATAATCTTTGCATCCGGATTGAAGCTCAATGCACTTTCCCGTGCCACACGGGCCTTTGACTTGCCGACGTGTTCGCGATGAAAGAGAAATTGACGATTGAGATTGCTCAGGTCAATGGTGTCCAGATCGATCTAAATGGAATGGATGAGACCATTAGCAATGCAAAGCATCCACAATATTCCACAGAAACTCACAATTTCAATGTCGTGAAAGCCGCTGAGCACAAGGTTCTTGAGGACCTCGCAGCCTATGCCGCCGGCGCCCACAACCAGCACCTTGGACTTTTTCACCAACTCCTGCAATGTGCCTGGGAGTACACCATCGATAGCGGCAGCCATTTTCTATGCAATAAAGCTTCTTAGTTTGAGAAATATCTTATTTCAACGTGAAAATTTACGATTTTCGAAATTTGCAAGTGACGCTGCCGGCAAGAGTGTTGGAAAGTTCCTAAGTGCAGACTTTTTAGGGATGGACAAATATGAATTGATGCCTTTGGATGCTATCTGCTATGGGATAGCCTGTACTATTTAAAGGCAATAACCTTAAATCTTTTAGTCAAATATATATTTAAAAGCCTTCGTAACATAATGTATCATATCATATCCAGATATCTTAGTAGCTTATATTGTGGAAAATGTATGCATCAGTCGGGTGAAATCATAGTTTCAGGGCTGCGAGCCATAGTTAGCTTTAATATCAAAATTGGGGAATATTAAATCTAGTAATTTCCTACAATGTCATTCGTTTTTTATTTTGGTCGTCCTGGTTCATTTTAGGAATCAACCATCGCGAAGGTCGATACTATCGATGGTCGTTAAATTGTTCAACCATCGATAGTATCGATTTATCTCCCAGCCCTAACTGACACTAACAAAAATATTTTCCTGACAAAGTTTTTGTGTGTGCTACGAAAGACGACCTGCAACTGCAATTGATTGCAATTGCGTGTGAGAAGTCGATACCAAAATCAATTGCGGCATACGGTGAAAATAGAATAATGGCCGAAGTGCGTCGCAGAAAGGAGGCGGTCTCCGATGAGGCTGCTGCTCAAGCTGAGGCTGCTAAACGCCACTCGTCTGCAGCTGACTCTTCAGACCATGTAAGTGTCCAATTAGCTGGCTGCTCTCCCAGGCAATGACTCCTATGTGGAGCAGACCAATTCCTTGCCTCGTTCCCCATTCAATTTGCATAATTCATTGGAGCGCAAAGAAGAAAAAACATAAGAAACCAATGTGTGTATACCCATACCAGTGAATATGTATGTACACCCATATGTTGTGCGCGTTGTGTGTGTGTGCCGTTTGTTATTCTCTGACGCAAAAGCAGGTGGGCGCAATTGGGGTGGAATTAACAAGAGGTGAGTCGCTCCGGCTCTCTTCCGTTACTTTCACTCCATGACGGAACTCCAGGCTGTCCCTTCAGAGAGCGCCCTCTTGCGTTTACTACTTGATATTTATGCCCCTTGGTCGCAGGAGAGAGAGAGAGAGCGCAGGCCAGCAGGCAAAAATCCAATAACTTATACCCCCTACCCCCTTCCCATGGGCTGCAGCAATGTAACGCCATTATTTCTTGCTTTCAAATCCAATTAGATAGATTCCAGCCATTACGGAAGCGCCCACCCCTTATGGGAGAGGTCGCCCGTGGCGTACCGTCCACTTTCTGCAATGGTTCCGGCTTTATTTCGTCTCTCTGATAAGAGCACCTTCTTTGCCCTGCACCCCACATGGCTTCTTATCAATGAATTGGCAACAAACAAAACACGCCACCGAAAATCCCACAATTTGTCTTTCTCTCTCTATGTCCGCTGTGTGTATGTTTGTGTTTGTGTGTGTTGGGGTCTTGGATAAATAGCGGCATATCGTTGGCTGATATTCTGATTATGGTTATATAGCCATAGTATATATTTTGGACTTTGAACGGCGGCCCCCTCGTTAAAAATGTATAAGCTTCACCCCCTGGCCCGAGAAATTGCAATTCTAATGTTTTCTGTTTTGTCCGCCACGCTTCGCAGGTGGACTCTGAGGAGGAGAAAATTCCCGAGGAGAAATTCGTTGAAGAGCTGGCCAAGAACCTACCCCAGGGCACGGACAAGACACCAGAGCTATTGGATTCGGCACTGAAGGACTTACCCGATCGGTATGTGGCAGAGTATCGAATCATTTCCAAAAATAAATTGCCCGGAAAGCCCCACAGCTGGGTGCAGGCAGTGGCAAATATTTTTAACAAACAGTACAAATAATAATAATAATTCATTTTTGTAATTTTTCCATTTGGCAGCTGGAAGAACTGGGTCATCCGCGGCATATTCACATGGATTATGATTTGTGGCTTCGCATTGATCATCTACGGCGGTCCGCTGGCCTTAATGATCACGGTGGGTTCAATGGCCAGTTTCGCCGTGGAATTCTTGAGTCTTATCTAATCTATTTGGTTTCTATTGCACAGACATTGCTGGTGCAGGTGAAGTGTTTCCAGGAGATCATCTCGATTGGCTACCAAGTGTATCGCATACACGGACTTCCCTGGTTCCGCAGTCTCTCCTGGTACTTTCTGCTCACATCCAATTACTTTTTCTATGGCGAGAACCTGGTTGATTACTTCGGCGTGGTCATCAATCGTGTGGTAAGTAGAGCAGTTTCTAAATTTAATTGGGGATCCTAATCCATTTCGCTTTCAGGAATATCTCAAGTTTCTGGTGACGTACCATCGCTTCCTCTCATTCGCCCTGTACATTATTGGCTTCGTTTGGTTTGTGCTGTCGCTGGTGAAGAAGTATTACATCAAACAGTTTAGCCTGTTTGCCTGGACACACGTCTCGCTGCTGATTGTCGTCACCCAGAGCTACCTCATCATTCAGAACATATTCGAGGGGCTTATTTGGTTCATTGTGCCCGTGTCGATGATTGTCTGCAATGATGTCATGGCGTATGTGTTTGGTTTCTTTTTCGGGCGCACACCCCTCATCAAGCTCAGTCCCAAGAAGACCTGGGAGGGCTTCATTGGTGGTGGTTTTGCCACAGTTCTCTTTGGGATTCTCTTCTCCTATTTCCTATGCAACTACCAGTACTTTATATGCCCCATACAATACTCTGAGGAGCTCGGACGCATGACGATGAGCTGTGTGCCCAGCTATCTATTTACGCCGCAGGAATACAGCCTGAAGATTGTACGTAGTCGTGTATCCTGTTTAATGCTCTATGATTAATATTAACTCTTTGCTTTGCAGTTTGGCATTGGCAAGTCTTTGAACGTTTATCCCTATATCTGGCACTCGATTTCTCTGAGCTTGTTCAGCTCGATTATTGGACCATTTGGCGGTTTCTTTGCTTCCGGTTTTAAGCGCGCTTTCAAGATCAAGGTGAGTGTGGAAGCTCTAGAGAGTTGATCTATGGTTACTTTTCATTATGCGTTGCAGGACTTTGGTGACATGATTCCCGGTCATGGTGGGATTATGGATCGTTTCGACTGTCAATTCCTGATGGCCACCTTTGTCAACGTTTATATATCGAGCTTCATTAGAACCCCATCGCCGGCGAAGCTACTCACACAGATCTACAATCTAAAGCCCGATCAGCAATTCCAAATTTATCAATCGCTTAAGGATTCCCTGGGCGATATGCTAAACTAAACACACAACAAAAACTATAACAAAATCAACAAACCGTTCACTGCGGTTAACCCTTTACCCATTAGATTAAAAACAGACAACAAAAAAGAGTTTTGCTTTAGTCGTACGTTCTCTATGTGTAAATGAAATACTGGTATATCCTGTATAGATGGCAAGCACTTTAGGCTGCCACATCAACTAGTTTTATATTAAGTGCATAATTAATTGTTATGTTAGATTTTGTTGCTACATTTTAGATGATTTTCCCCTAATCAAAACGCAACCCCAAACCCCAACCCACCTAAGATATTCTGATTTGGCATTAGGTTCTGTGTGCTGCTGCTGCTCCCCATTCTATGAAGCGATTCCATTAATTTTAAAGCTTAAGCAGAACCATAGCAGAACTATGAATTTATAATAATCGATTGTGTGTGTGTTGTTAGTGAATTTACTTACTATTTACTATAATTACTACTACTACTAATAATATTTACTATGACTTAGAGATTGACAAGGATTCGGTGCGGCTGGAGAGGGCAACACTTACAAAACATTAACATACAATCGAAGTGCATTTTTTTTGGGAGCCCATACATCCACCTGCAAACCGAAGACTTTTTAATGTAATCTGAAATTATGTGCAATGTTCTTTTGGATGCCTATCATTTATATAGTGCAATATTTATACTCATTCGATTTGGGTAACTTAATTCCAGTCATTTGATTTATTCAACATTTCGTATGTTCCTTTAAATTCATTCACTTATTTCACAAAAAAAAAATAATATACTTATATACTTCATAATATATAGGGAAAGTTTCACATATATAAATCATGTTATATACGAAGGAAACGAAGGCAAAAGGCAGGTCGGCAAAATGTTTTTAAGCAAATTATGTGTACAAAGAAAATGAAACTTTAAGTCCTCTATTAATGTTATTAAACAAACAAAAAATAAACCAAACGATGAGAATATGAATGTAAAACCGACAACGAACTCCTTTCATTATTTCTAAGTATTTTTTGGGCAGGACCGCTTCATGGTCTTCGCCTCCAGGCACTGTAACACGCTTTGTTCAGATTTCTATTTCTATTCCTCGTTCACTGGCGGTTTCACCAGCAGTTTGCTCATCAAAGAGTCTTTCAGATTGGCAACATCCTCACGCTTCAAGTCGAAGTAAACCCCACGCTTGCAGGCATCGTCCAGCAGGTCACGCCACATGGGCACGTTCTGAAAGAAGAGTTTGGATCCCCATTAGATTACAGAATCTCAATTTGTGGCTGAACACTCACCTGTAGATCTTTGAAATTTCCACAGATGATTAGGCAACGTTTGGGCCTGGTAACGGCCACATTGAGTCTCTGGTAGTTGGACAGAAAGCCGCAGCCTTGTGTGCGCGCATTCGAAATGACAACCACATCGCTCTCCGTACCCTGATAGGCATCCACAGTGAGTGGCGGTGGCAGGTTCATGTGGCTGGGCAGCACTTGGCTCAGCGCATAGCATTGGCTGCTGTACGGTGAAATCAGTCCGTAGCCGTAGCGTCTGCTCGGCAAATGCTTTTCCATCTCCGCCAGCAGCTTGGCCACAAAGCGAGCCTCCTCCTCGTTGCTAATGCTTCGAGTTTTCGGATCACTGGTGTCCCTGGTGAAGCCCAGGTTGATGATGGCATAAGGAATCAGCGGTGTTGCCAGCTTGCCCTCTAGGCCCACTTCATTGACCAGCTGAGCGTCGTAGAAGTAGCGATTCGGCCACTTGCAAATCTCCGGATGCATGCGGTACTGCGTCGTCAGTTTGAAGAGTTTTGTGTGCACGGACAGATGGCCAAGCGGATCGTCCGCCTGCTGCCGCTCCAGACTCCGCTGAATGCGATCGAACATTGATCTGGCCAAACCGAACTCGACAGCCCTCTGGGAGAGCACAACGGCAGGCAACTGCTGCGTGTCGCCGACCAATACCAGGTGCGGAATGCCGAAACGCATGGGCAGCAGCGTCCATGGCTCGGTGCACTGTGTGGCCTCGTCAATTAAGCACACATCAAAGTAGTTTATATAGCTAGACAGCTTCACGCACGAGGAGAGTGTGGTGCACACAATGTTGGCTGCTTTTATGTGCGATGAAGCAATATCGAACTCCTCGCGCTGTGTCAGGCGTGGATTTAGCTTGTCCTCGAAGATCTGCAGCTTCCTTATCTTCTCCTGGTACTGGTCGAACAGCCAGGTGCCATTTAGATGTGTATTTCGCATTTCGTTGACCTCCGCTTGCAGCTCGTTGTAGTGCTGCTTGAGAATCACGCGGTTATCGGCACTAATACGATCTCTTTTGTGGTTCCTGGCACACTGGTACTTATGCTCCAGCGAGTAGTGCCGCGACAGCGAACTCATCTTCTCGTGCAACCCATAGCGAAGCATCTCAAAGCGATCCTGCTCACTGAAGTTCTCACGCACCTGATGCAAACGGGAAACAATTGAATCGACGGCCGTGTTGGAATGGGCACAGATGAGTATCTTGCGATCCTTTTTGATGGCCGCCTTTCCATACAAACACTGGAAGCTTATGTTTGCAATAATCATGGATTTGCCCGTGCCTGGGGGACCCTGGATCAACGTAATGCTCGGCTTGGAATCATCTATGACACGCTGATACGTGCTTGCGCAGACCAACTCCTGGTGAGGATTGAGCTTGGCGAAACCCTTGAACACAAACGGTGTTCCATAGCTGGGTATGCTGGCATTCTTCAGCATTTCGGTGGGCTTGATTATCCTGCGATGGAGTGGCGAGCGTGCCAGCTGATCGACAGCTCGCAGTGCGCCCAAATCCACCCTCAAGCTGTCCACCACTGGGCGTGCAGTCAAGAGTTTTATGCCGTTTAATGTTTCCAGCGAAATGCCATCTTTGAGGATTTCGAAAATCAGCTCTTGGCCTGCATAGGGTAAGGCAAAAGGGTGAGTAAGAGTGGGTGGTGGATCACTTTTGATTTGGCTTACCATTTTTAGTTCTTTGCTCACGCAGAGTGGCAAACGTTTCCGGCAGCTTGTCGCCACTTGACAGCGTGTAAAGCATATACTTTGCTGGCGGGTTAATAAAGACTAAAGAGAGAGAGAGATAATCAGAAAACGTATAGAACGTCAGTTACAGAAACTCACCCCGCGTAGTCAGGCAGTAGAAGGATTTTGTTACCTCAACAGGTTGCTGCAGGCAGACCTCAAATGATGGCCTGCCCAACTTGTAGTCCCTTTCGATTGTGGTCAACAGCTCCAGCTTCATCAAAGGCACAAAGTTTCTGCAGGAGAAGGACCAGACAAAGTGTTAGTTAAGAGTGCCATTCAAAAGGCACTTCCACTCACTCCTTGTACTGTTTGACATTCTCAAATTCGGCTGCTATGGGCTTGAGCACATCCGAATCAGCCACAGCATCCACACTGCGCTGCTTCAGCCATTGATTTGACCACTTTAGGATGGTCTCGAAGTGTGACGTTTTGTCGTTGACCTGAAGGCTCGACCAGCGTTCACGCCTCTCCGCGTAAGTGCTGAAGAACAGCAACTCGGTGTCCTTTCTTCCGTTTACGCCGTGCATGGGGCTTTGGCCAATGTATTTCTCAACGAAATAGATCACAGGTTTGTCGTTGAATCGCACGCGTTTTGACATCTTCTGGCACCTCAACTTCTCCTCCATATCCTTCTCCATGCTGGCGAAGGTGGTTCGATTGCAGGTGCGCTGGTTTCTGGCATACTCGGCCTCCTTGCGCTCTGGCGGACGCCAGTTCCGCCGGGGCAGAGGCAGGGAATCAGGTGCCTTAATCTGCTGTGAGAAGGTCTCAGAGTCAATGGTGGCACGTCGGTTCTTCAGTGGTGGTTCGGGTGCATCCAGCTTGGCCACCTTTGAGGGAGGCAGTCCATTGATGCTCTCGGTGAGGAACGCCCCACGATTCGAATTGGCTACCTTTGGCACAGTGGTTGTGGCCTTTCTCTTGCTGCTGCCTGGCGCGTGCTCCCCTTCGACTGGCTTCTTCTCTGTTAGTTTTTTGAGCGCTTCGCGCCGCTTCTCCTTTGTTTCGACATCAACTGGGTTCTTCGCTTTTGGCTTCTCCTTCCATTTGGCATTCATTTCCGCCTGATAGTCCAGGAATCGCTGGTGGTCCAAAATCTTGGCCTTGGGCACTGCCGAAACGCCGCGCAGCTTGCCCCGATACTTGGGCAACGAAGGAGCCTCAATCACTTCGGGTCTCCTAATCTGCTTCATGTCCATCCCGCTGACAATGCTTGTGACCAGGTCTGGTTCGTCTTGGGGTTTCTCATAGTAGCACGAAATGGCTCGGCTGCGAAGTCGTGCATTGGGCTCTTTTTTTGATGGAGATTTCTCCTTTGGCTTGGCTGCTGGCTCATTCTCTTTCGAGCTCTTCACAACTTTTTCTTTGGCTTTGTCCTCCTCCTCAAAAGCGTCATCAAACTGTTCGCGAGAGACGGCAACGGTTGATCGTCGCTGGGAGATTCTGGATATCTTCTTCGCCACTTCAGGCTCCGCTTTTGGTCCCTCCTTGCGCTTAGAAGGAGAATCTTTTTTTTTCTTAGAAGAACCCTTCGCCTTTGAGTGATTCTTGGAAACGGCAGGCTCCACTTTATCTTTGATTTTCTCTACGGAAGGAGCTTCCTTTTTCTCCTCCTCAAAAGCGTCAGCAAACTGTTCGCGAGAGACGGCAACAGATGAACGTCGCTGGGAGATTCGGGACTTCTTAATGGAAGCTGCAGATGGCTCGGCTTTTGGCGCTTCCTTTCGCTTGGAAGGATAATCTTTCTCCTTCGCTTTTGCTTGATTTTTGTTGGAAGCTGCGGACTCCACTTTGTCTTTGGCTTTGTCTACGGAAGGAGCTTCTTTTGGCTCCATGCTACAAGTTTCAGCAAACTCTTCATGAGAGACGGCTACGGTGGATCGTCGCGTGGTTTTGTTCACTAAAGGTACATCCTTTGGTTTCTCCTTTAAAGTGCCAAGCAACTCTTCGCGGGACACTGTTACGCATAGTCGTCGATGGACAATTCTGGATTTCTTGCTGTCAGCTGCTGGTTGCTCCGCTTCGGCTTTCTCCACAGAAGAAGCTTCTATCTCCATAGAAGAAGCCTTCAGCTTTGAATGGTGCTTGGAAACGGCAGGCTCTACTTTAACTGTGGTTTGAGGAGATTCTTTAGGTGTTTCGAGAGAAGTTTCAGCCAAGTCTTCGAAGGAGACTGCAATGGTTGATCGTCGACTGGAGATTCTGGACTTCTTGTTATATTTGCAGGCCATAACAGGTTCCACATTGGCTTTCTTTGGTGAAGGAGTTTTTTCTGGGGCAGAAACGTCCGCTTCCTCCGTTATTGGGTTAGCCAGCAGTTCTATCTCCATGGAAATATCCAATGCTATTTTCTCTGGGGTTTGGACAATTTTTGACTTTTTGGATGCGTCAGGAATTGTTTCATCCAGGGAGGATACGCCGTTCAAGGCTTCATTGATCATGTTACCGAAGTCCCAATTATCCCAATTATCCCAATCATCTTCTGAGCTGAGCGCCGTCTCGGGAATGGTGTCTGCCTGATCCTTACGCGGGCGCCGCGTGAACAATTGGCACTCGTCTTCGGTGGTGCCAACGGACTTTGAGCGAAGGAGAGATGGTTTTAGGGCTGCCTTGTCCGCTGCGAACGAGAGAAAATTGTGAGATAAAGGTTTCAAGAAATAGAGTAGAAAATATTTACCCTTGTGGATGTTGGGCGTGGATGAATCGTCCTCATCCGAGCTGGAATCAATGCGCAGTGGCTTGGAGTATTTGGGAAAGAGGCGAGAGGAAGGCACATCCTCTTCATCATCGCTGGAGTCCAGCATGCGAAGCGCTTTCGGCAAAATGCGGAATTGCATTTGAGATTGAAAATCTTCCTCCGCGTCAGATTCGGTCAAGGGATATGACTGTGACAGAGCGTCGGGTGTTTTCTGGCTGAGCAGCTTGTTGGACCAGTCGGCCACCTTGCTGCAGAGATCGTCATCGTCGCTGTCGGAGATCACAATGACGTCTTCCTCATCATTCAAGGGAGACAAGGATGAGCTGCGGTGGCTGCACTCATTGTTGGTCAACTCAAAAAAGTTCTCCTCGCCATCGCTGAATGCCATCTCGTCCTTCATTTCTTGCAGGACCGCCTGGGACATTGCCATGTCCTCATCATAGTCGTCCACGGCTTGCGCCGACAAAGGCGGATGCGGACAGGGCGGTAGCATGCTGCCGGCTGTCTCGTTCGCTTGCTGACAGGGCGGATCCTTCGCCTTGTTGTTATCCTCATTATCTTCCAGCTCAATGACTTGACCATCGAGCAGATTTGCGACTGGCAGTGCTTGCTTCTCTTTCGGCAAGTGATTGTATAAATACGGATTAATGCTCAGCACACTGCCGATAATGGCCTCATCCGCCTCACCAAAGATGCTCGTTATGTCTTGGGCCGTCTTCACCCACTCCGCCTTTACTTGTGGCACCTTTGGAAGGTGCAGGATCGGATGTGTACCGGCTTTGGATGTAGTAGGACCCTCCTTCTCAGTTTCTTTGGCGGCAGTAGTTGCCTCGCTTGGAATATTTGCAGTCTTCTCAACAGGTTCTACCTTGCATTCAACAGCAGATTTTGGCGGCGGCCGAGTTAGTAGTTCATCCTCCGAATCGCTGGACAGCACAATTTCTTCGGTCTGGACAGGCACTTTTTTCAAACTGAAGACGGCCCATTTTTTGGAACACTTCTTCTCGAGCAGAGGGCAGCCCAGACTGATTAAATCTCCTTCGCTCACAGGCACTCCATCAGGCTTTTTCTGGATTTTCGCATTATTCACGAAAACACCATTCGAGGCGTTCTGGGGGACGCAAAAACAGAATTAGTTTATCTATATTATGCTCTGTTGTTCATCCCAAACTTACCAGACACTTGACCAGGACAGCATTGGAGTTAACCGACATCTCCACATGCTCCCTCGACATGAATGCATAATTCAGGACAATCCTGCAGGCCGAGTGGCGACCAATTGTGCTCTTGCCCTTCGGCAGGATCACCCGCTCCTGCGTACTTAGGTGCTCCAAGTACCAGCAGGACATTTCGGCTTCTTTCTGTAATTTTAAAAGCGAGTTTCCATTAAATTTCCCTTTTTATAAGACACACTTCGAAAAGAGGAGACCACCACCGTCGTCGGGGCTATCGAATTCCGATACTTGCAATACGCCGCACGCTCTCTATGTTGGGTGGCTGGAACCAAGAGACTGCTCTTATCACAACATTTAATAGCCTCAGAACTCTGGCGGCAGATTTATTTAACAGCGATTAAATTATTTAAATATTTTTAAAATGTTTTTGCGTTTTCCCTCCAACAAAACAGCAGGTAATTCGCAGTACCGCGAGCGTTGCAACACTGATAGCCATCCTCTGCAGCCCTTGTAATGTGTTGCTTTGGTCACACCATCCACCGCAAAGAATGTACGTACAATTGTAATTTGAAACGCCAAAAATATTATGATGATCAAATTCTGGACTATAGATAGACCCACTCAGCTTCAAGTTCCTTTGTTGCTAGATAGTGGCAATAAGTGCTTTTATAAACCTAAGCAGAGCTTAAGCGTAATGCATAATTTCCGGCACAAACTGCGAAAGCACGAAATAGTCAGTGGTGCGATTGGCTATTTCGTGAGTTACTACATTCCATTGCACAGAAGTTCCAGCAACAACAATTTGTTAGATATTTAATAAATTAAATGTTTCTTACCTTCCCACACAGTTTCACAACAAATAACAACTAAACTGTCGCTGCTGCGGGGTTGATGCACTCAGTCCTAGTCTATCGCGGTATTATGGAACATTTATACCACAGTCACACCACCATCGAGCTGAGCCGCCAACAAATTTATTAAAATCGAACGCAAAGATCTTATAATGGGGAAAGCTCACAGCAGGTCAGCGCCCTTTATTGAAATCCTTTATTGAATGTTAATTGCATGGCATTTTTACAGGTGAGCCACAGGTGCCGTTACAGGTCTCGCGGGTGTTTCGATGTTTTATGAAAACGATAGCTTGCATATTCAGCAGCCCTGGTTTGGTATTTTTTCACTTTGATGGACGGTCCCTCAATCGCGCGCGAAACATGTCCGATCATGCACAAAAATATAATCAACCAATTGCCAACAAAAGGCAATTTGATGTAAGTGAAGAAAATGATATTGGGAATTGCAAACGCTTTTGCAGCGAGAGCCTCTTTTGGCCAGAAAGCGACGAAGATAGTTTCTTTTCCAATGCAAAACTCGAGGATATTGTCAGCGGGCGCAATGAGGAGCTCTTCGGTACACAGGCGCCAACGAGCAATAAACCGTTGCAACAGAGTGGATCTGACGATGGCCTTTTTGCTGACATTACATTTCCGGGCACCCAAAAAGCCGAGGAAAACGAAGCTCCAACTAATGAAAATGAGGAGGAAGCCGGCACGTTGTTCAAGCAGATCAATCTCCATGATCTAAGCATTGCCGAAATGGAGAATATATTCCACGGAGCCGAGGACTTTAGTGACCCAATTGCGCAGAACACGCAACTCTTCCTCGATGCAGTTGCCTTCAAAGTTCCCAATCCCAAGACCCCAGATAGAGCAGAAAAATCGTTGGCTCCGATCAGCGACGAGTCCATGTCCGCCATTGAGGGACTAATATTTGGCACGCAATATGCCACCTGCCAGGAGCTGAAGAACCAATCAATACTCGACCCAAGCAATTGGGAGAGCCAAGCCTTTGCCGACTTTGAGCAGAAGAGCCTGCTGCCCAAGGACAGCTTCCCCAGCAAGGGCGACTTCTATGGTCTGCCGGATAAGGTCAGGAAGATGATACTGGAGCACAAGGGCATCCAGAGTCTGTATGGTAAGGCATTCAGCACTGTGAATATGTACCCAAATCCCATTATTACATGTTTCGTTTTGCTTTCAGAATGGCAGGACGAGTGCCTGAATCTACCGGCCATACGACAGCGAAAGAATCTAATCTACGCTCTGCCCACCAGCGGGGGTAAAACCCTAGTGGCAGAGATTCTCATGCTGCGCGAACTGCTGTGCCGGGAGCGCAATGTGCTGTTCATATTGCCCTATGTCTCGATTGTCCAGGAGAAAGTCAGCGCCATGTCTCCCTTTGCCATTGAGTTGGACTTTATTGTCGATGAATACACGGCCGGCAAGGGCAAGTGTCCGCCACAGCCTCGTTGCAAGCGGCGCAGTCTGTTTATTGCTTCAATCGAGAAGGGAGCTGTGCTGATGGACAGTCTGATTGATGTGCAACGTCCCCACGAGATTGGCCTCGTGGTGGTCGATGAGTTGCATTTGATTGGCGAACGGGGACGCGGTGCCACCCTCGAGGCATTTCTCACTAAAGTAATGTTTCTGAATGGTAAGTGGAAGGGTCTATAAACTGAAGGATGATTAAAAGACCTCTCCTTTCCCTTAGCAAACATACAAATTGTGGGCATGAGTGCAACAATCGGAAACCTAAGCGAGATTTCTGCCTTTCTCAATGCCGATGTCTACACACGCGGCTTTCGGCCCGTGGAGCTGAAGGAGTACATCAAGTGTGGCTCCGATTTGTTGGAAATCAACTCGTTGGGCCACACGATCGAGGAAATATTTGTGCCCAGCCGCACAGTTGACTTTAATGTGAGTGAAAATTTGGCAACTTAAATCGTAGCTTCAATGTCTTTGCTCTCTTTTTTGCAGTACAGCGAAGCTGTGAAGCGTGCGGATCCCGATCAGTTGGCTGGCTTAATCAGCGAATGTGCGCCTGAGCACTGCTGCCTGGTGTTCTGCCCCAGTCGCAAGAATTGCGAGAATGTGGCTCTGCTGCTGAGTCGCATTGTGCCCAAGGCAAAGTTCTTTGCGCATCGCCGCAGCGAAAAGGTCGATCTGATGGATGCCCTGGACAAGATGTGTGGCGTTCTCAGCCCGGTGCTGGCCAAAACGCTGCCCTACGGCATTGCCTATCACCACTCTGGCCTCACCACCGACGAGCGCAAGTACATAGAGACCGCCTATCGCTTTGGAGTCGTAACCGTCATCTGCTGCACCTCCACCCTGGCCGCGGGCGTCAATCTGCCAGCCAAGCGTGTCATCATACGCGCTCCCTACGTGGGCCAGGAGTTCATGACGCTGTGCAAGTACAAGCAAATGGTGGGGCGCGCCGGACGTGCTGGCCTTGGGGAGGCAGGCGAAAGTATTCTGATTGCTCAATGCAAAGACAATCTGCAGGTAGGGCAAATGCTCTTCTCACCCATGGACAAGGCGCTGAGTTCGTTGTACGAGCAGGAGGCAGTGGGCTTGCAGGCAAGTACTTAACTAATGTTTTCTAGGCTTACCTGCGATCCTTCGCTCGGTATCTGCTGCGTTTTGTCACTCCACGTTTATATTTGGTTGAGATTACCGCACTGACTGTGGCGAAAAACATGATTTAGATTGTTTATATACATACCTCTTGTGGATTCTAGACTGCCAGACTCCTTTAGCCATATAATCGCCTACATAAATGTATAAACTAATTAAATCTTTACTCTTCCTTCTAGTCACTCATTCTGAGCGTAATTGGACTGAAACTGGCCGATTGTCGTCGCGATTTGAATAGTCTAGTGAACAGCACACTCCTGGCGGTGCAGGCCAATGCTCTGGAGGTGGCCGTGGATGAGCTAGTGCTCCGCATACTCAAAGAAATGTTCAAGAACAAAGTGCTGCAGCTGTCAGAGGCCAAGCCAAAGGCGACAAACTGTTCGGTCATCATAACCACACAGGATGGCAGCCAAAGCATACGTCCTGCAGGCGATCGTCGTCTATTGATCAGCCAATCCACTCGCTTCAAGCTCACTGACATTGGACGGGCTGCCTTCAAGGCGGGCATTGACTACAAGCGCGCCAGTGCCATACACACCGAACTGAAGCAGGCCCAGCAGCAGCTTATACTCAGCAGCTACTCGCATCTGCTGTATCTGGTGGTGTGCTTCAACTCGAACGAGCGAGGAGATGAGCTGTTCCCCGCCGATGCCAGCATTCTGTTCAATGTCTACACCTCGCTCTCCACCGAATCGCAGGCGCTGTTCAAGCAACTCGGCTTCACCGAGGCCCACGCGGCGAGGCTCTACAAGACGCAGTCCGTGCAGGGTCCCATGTCGCTGCAGCTGAATCGCCTCTACAAAGTGCTCATCCTGTCGGATATCCTCGATCTGCTGCCACTGCCCACAGTCTCTGGCAAATATAACGTGGAACGTGGCATGCTGCAGCATCTGATTAGCCAATCGATTGCCGCCTCCAGTGCCATTGTGCGGCTGTGCGAGGAAATTGCAGGGTTCTGGTGCTACAAGTCACTGTTCGAGCGCATCCTACACAAAATGGATCGCTGTGGCACGCTAGAACTGGAGCCACTCATGGAGCTGCCAGGCGTTAAAATTGTAGGAAACAAATTCAAATATCTGGATGGCATTGGGTTACATTTTCTCTTTTTGTTCCTTCAGAATCGCGCCAAGCAGCTGTATGCAGCGGGCTTCAGAGCCATTGAGGACTTGGCCAGAATACGGCCCATGATTTTAGTGCAAAGCGTCGAACATATGCCACTGCGCGTGGCCACGGAAATTGTCTCAGCAGCAAAGGTTGTGTGGAATGTTGTTTATACATTATTCTGTTTACTGTTTACTGATTCTGTATTTATTTTCTAGATTATTTTGATGAAGAAACTCGATCACTTGGAGGAGGAAACGGAGAACCTAAAGGTCTGCCTGCGCTCGAGTGATTAGAGGCGTTGGCTGGTGGCTGGATTGTGAGTGTTTTCCATTTGTGTTTTCTTCTATTTTATTATTATTTAGTTTAGTTAAGCACTCGGACTTAAGTCTTCTTTCTGGACACTGAACTTACACACATATTACAGAATTTTAAATTAGGAATATTAAGTAAATTTCTCTTTTCTATTTTTTGTTCGTCTCTCACTAAATGTACTTTAAGGACATTTGGCCACGGGTATTGCTGGTCTGCCTGCTGGGCATTGTCCATTGTTCATCTTTTTGCTGGGTGTTGGTTGGTTGTGGTGTTGGTGTTGGACAGACAAATGCACAATGTCCCGGCTACTATCACGACAATTGAGTATTATACAATGTAGGGGCATGGGCTTTACATATTACATATTAGAAGTAAGTAGTTAAGTTCTTCTCTTAACCTTATGTGCGGGGGGACTAAAGTACTTTCACTCCTCTTCGATTGCTCTCCGGGGAAACTTATTTACAGCTGAAGAACTGCAATGGAAAAGATCAACTTAGAGGGAAATGTCAGAGGTTGAGCCCCTCTTGCCACTCACCTTATTACACACAGAAACTTCTCGTGTTTTTAATAGGCAAAATCATCGTAGAAATGCTGGGAAATTCGTCCATTCATTTGTGGTTGATGATGACTCACGCCACCAGCTCCGGCTGATCCTCCTCCAATGGCTGATCCTCGGGGAGCAGCGTATTCGTGTCGATGTGAACGCGCGGCTTGCGACGGGACAATGGCCCGCCTGCGTATATCTGTCGATGAGAAATAGGAATCACTATGGTAGCTCGCTGGCTGCTGGGATTGCGATTGCGGTTGGGATTGCGATGCTGATGCTGAAGCTGAAGCGGTTGATGTTGATGATGATTGCTGCGGATGATACTGTTGCTGATAGGCAAATGGATTGTAGGCGGATGAGGCAGGCGCTGCATAGGCACTGGCATAGGGACGACCCCCCTGCTGCTGCTGCTGCTGCTGCGATTGATATGGAAGCGGATGCGAATTCTGAAGCTGCAGCTGATGCTGTGGCACTGGCGAGAGCGGCTTGAGCGTCGGATCGAGCGCATCGTTCAGCGTCACATCGTAGTCGTTCTCGTAGAGCTCGTCGAGATTCAGTTTCGGTGGCGGCGGCTGCTGCTGCTGCTGCTTGGGCGTGGCCGGCAGTGCGCTGCGAGGCGGCAGCGTGGTGCGCGGCGGACTTGGAGACGGAGGCGCGAACGCCTCAACGTCCTCCTCCTCCTCTTGCTCCACCGCCTCGTCCTCGCTGCTATCCGGCCGTCCTCGCAGCAGCGGTGCCCCGTGCTCCAGCAGACGCACCCCCGAGATGGTCGAACCCATGTCGATGGGCGTGCTGTCTGTGGTCACGGCTGGCACTGGCCTCAGGGCCACGCCCACTGGCTGAAGACCACGCGGCAGATAGGGGCTGCCGCCCCGTGAGGGCAGGAAGGGTCGCTTGACCACACGTACCGATGATGGACGCTGCGCGCTCTTCCCCGGTGCCGTCCTTCCGCTCAGCGAATTCGCTCTCGTTCGTGGCGCAATCGCGGCTGCGGCTGATGGCGTCTCCTCCTCTCCGCTGATGATGGGCTCTGCCGTGTCGTCCTCCTCCTCCACGATGGGCTGGCGAGGGCGGGGCGCTATGGGCTTCCTGGTGGTCGTTGCCGCCTTCGAGCGACTCCTCAGGTTGCCACGTGCCGGCGCGGCTGTTGCCACTGGCGCAGGGGCAGGGCTCTCCCCGTAATCCTCGTCCTCAAAGTCCACATCGGGCGCTGGTGCACGGGAACGGGGTGCCAGCGGACGCTTACGCTTGCGCGGTGGCTCCGGCTCCTCGTAGTCCTCTTCCAGAGGCTTCTTGTCAGTTACCGGCTTCCGCAGTGTGCCCCGAGTGGGCTTCAGCTGCTCGGCCCTGGACGCGGGCAATGTGCGTCGTCTGGGATCGTTCCTGGCTGGCGGTGGTGGTGGTGGCGGTGGCTGCTCGTAGTCATCCTCGAGTGGCTGCTCCTGGGAGTAATCCTCCTCGTCCTGCCCACGCCCAAACGGTGGCTGGACGGTGGCCGTGTTCTTCTGCACCGGATAGGAATACTTTTTCTTCTCGGTTATGGGCACGGGTCGTGCAATCTTCGGTGGAGCCCTGGGCCTGGCGTAGACCGAAGCGGCAGCCGCCTTGGGCGTGATAAATTCCGTGAGGGGCTTTGGTGTGGTCTTCACCTTCTGCGGGGTCTGCTCCTCGGCAGCCTCCTCCTGGTCTGTGCCCCCATAGGGCTTCTCGTACTCATCCAGATCTTCGTTGGCGTAGGAGGGCGTTGTGCGCTTCTCATTGCTGCGTCGCCTGGCCAGCGGTCGATCCTCATTGAAGCTGCGTCGCTCCTCCGCTCGTCCAGGCTTGCGTGGCGGCGAATTCTTTCTGCCAGCGGCTCCCGGCGTGGGTTTTCCCCTGCGCACTGCTGGCCGCTCCTCATAGTCCTCGTCCAGCGACTCTTCCTCATCCCTGTAGCGGTTTCTGTTGCGTCTCGTGGGCTTCTCCGCCTCGTACTCCTCCTCGTAGTCCGAGTCCAGCTGTGGCTTGCGATGACGCGGCCTGGTCTTGTGCCTGCGCGTTGGTCGCTCGTAATACTCATCCTCGTACTGATCCTCCTCATCGTAGTAGTAGTCATCGATGGGTCTACGGTTGTACGGCCGCCTCAGCGGTCGCTGTGGTCTTTGAAGTCTTCGACGCGGTGCTGCTGGCTGCGTGGGCGGTGGGGCAATGGTTGTCGTAGTCGTGGATGTGGTAGTGGTGGCCATGTACAGAGCATCGTTTCTGGAAAGAGAATGCTTATAGTGATTGTTGCTTAAGGTTCCCTGCAGATCTGTTACCTATTCCAATACTTTTGTGATCCCTCGCAGTCCACATCGGAGGCAAAGTGGCAAATGAAAGTCCGCTGATCAAAGGCCGTGAAGTTGGCGCACAGAAAATCGTGTCGTATGCCATAGACGCAATGATGATAGATCTGCAATGAGACGATGTTGTCCGAGTTGTTAGCAATTCCATAACTAATCCAAATGTTTAGCGGCAAAAGCAAAAATCAAACAATTTTTGAGGTCAAGATCGAACGCTAGGCTTAAACGAGTTTTGGTTTTTTTTAGGCGTCACGTAAGCGACGGTAAACCCGTCGCGGAGTCGTCGTTGCAAAAGAGAAATTACTGGACATATGCACATAGGGTTTGTGCCGGGACAAGGTCGCGCGTCTCACCTGGCACTTGTACTCGATGGAGGCATAGAAACCATCGTGCAGGCCCTCGCACTTGAAGTGAATCTCATCCATGGGGGGCACAGTCGACAGGAAGGGATACGTTGAGAGATTGTAGCTATAGAAGAGATGGTTAGTGCATCCTTAGACATGCTCACTCTCGTTGCTTTGTTACCCATTCAATTCTCTTGGCAAATTGGGATCCCAAATGTAATCAATCTGTGGAATGCCCGTCAGCTTGGAGTTCTTTGTGGAGCTGCGAGTGTTGTTCTCCGCCTGTTGGGTGGGACATTTACACCATAAATAATCGAGTTAACCAGTGGGAAAATCTTTCCCAACTTCTCATCGCTCACCTTGGCAACGTCGCTGTCGCTGGCTGGCACTGGTGTGTTCTCCTCTTCCTGGACGGGTGTGTCCTCTGTGGTTGTGCTGGTGGTGCTGGTGCTGCTTGTGGAGGCGGGTGTCTTGGCAATGGACACCTTTTTGAAGGGCAGGGCAGCCTCTGAGCAGGCCAACAGGCTCAGCAGCAGCACTGCAAAAAACCGCAAATTGGAATTAAAATTTCACAGCTCCAATGTGTTGCATAATCCACAGGATGGGAACCCGTTTCGGTTTATTTATCCTCTCCTCTCACCTGTTGCTGCCATGAACAGCCAGCGCTTGGCGCTTTTCATCTTGAAGGTTTCTCTGATCACTTTGGGGGGGGATATAACACCACTTGCTTAACTGAAACGATAAAACAGTCGCACAAATATTACATAAGACATTAAAAATAACCATTAGCCAGTGCCACACCCTTGGGAGCTTAAGATTTATGTTCTAGACAAGTCGTTGAACGCTTCGGAAACAAAAGAAACAAAAGAATTCTTCGTTCCCTGTGGCCCCAAAGTTCTGGGCATTGATATGATATTTCAGACACGTTCTCCACCGGGTTTAATGCTACTTTCTGCGGCTGTCATTCAAGTCGAATCGTGTGGATTTTTGAAGGCGCAAAAGAAATGCATTCGAGCTACAATTGGTTGTAGAAAGTGTTCTTAATGCTTGGTTTGGGCTTGGGCTATCTGTCGTTGAATTTTCTTTTCCATTTGTCTGGCTAACGTTTTGGGTAGAAGTGAAAATACTTCGGGAAATAATAGGTTTCTTATGTGCCAATGGAGAAGGCAACAAATATTTCAAATTTCTATATTTATTTATGCGTAAATTAAGATAATTTTGTAACAATTTCTAAACAATTATTTCCATATTATAATCGTTTAAATCGCTTTGACGTTGTGTTACTTAGAGTTTTCTTCATATCTACAGCAAAACTCAACTCTTGTTATGCTTCGCCTAGGAAATTTGCATTATTTGATTAACTAACGAATCTATAAGAAAACACTCCAGCACTTGCCATGCGATTACTCATCACATTCTTCGCTAAATGTTCCATTAACTAAATACAACACAGTCCCATATATTATGTGTTAAATATACATTAATTGTGCACCTTCCCAATCAGCTTCACTTTCCGATTTCCGTCTCAGGTGTCGTTTGGTCGGTTGGGTAATTGCATAATTAGCTTTGGCATCAGCCTTCAATGTCACTTTTGGCTGTGGTTGGGGGAACGGGGTAACTTACGTAAGGAGAGCGCTTCGTACCCCCACCTATACCCATTTGTCTTCGGGCGAAATTGAAAGGGTAGCAGCCACAGCCACAGCCACAGCAAATAAATAAGTACTGCCGAGCGAGCGCATAATAATATTGTACAAACACAAAACACAATGCATAACTATAACAAATTGAAAAGCGAATGAACAACCCGACCCGACAATCAGCAATCACTTTCATTTCGAATGCGTTTTTTCGAGGCAGAGTCTTCGAGTCCAAACAAAATTGAATGCAAAACGCTTGGCCCCCGCCCGAGAGATCATTGGAGCATTGTAATTTGGCAGTCGATAAACAGAGTTAGTTGAATGCAACTTTTGGCCTGCCTCTGCAAATATATTTATTATGCATTGTTTTTTTTTTTATTGGGGGTTTCCTTGAGCACCCAGGAGGACGCTGCTCAACCTCCGACTCCTCCTCCTCGACGGTGGTTTATTCATGGCACAATTTTTGCTTGAATTTTATGCCCCATCGCAGGTTCAAAGATGTTGCCGTTCACACCCTGTTTTTGTGTGTGTTTTGTTGTTGCTTTTGTTGTTGTTTAAACAAAATGTGTGTCGTGCATTTTAAGTGGAGATTTGATTGGATTTGATGTCTGTCCGTCCGTCAGTTGTCTGCCTGTTTCTGTGGCTTTTAGCTGCCTTTGCACTTTTTGACATTTCGTCTCTCTGCGTGGGCTGTGACTCTGTTTGTTCAGTTATTTGTTTGACAAAATATGATAATGGTTGAGATAACAATTTCAATGGAAATGAATGTCTACATGTCTGCCTGGAAATGCCAAAGGGTTTTGTTCTCTGGGGTGTGGAGAATGCATTTATGTTTTTTACCTTCTTCATTAACGAAACAATAATTTCCATCATATCCATCAGCCCAATATAGCAATCTGTACCTGTATATTTCTGCTGTTTCTGCTACCTAAATGTAGTTCTTGACAAGGGACAACGGTTTACTTTATTTTATAACTTGTTTACCTACTTCCAACCTAGACATCTTTGGCACACAACGAAGTACAAATATCTAGTATAAAATTTGGAAATTTTGCTGATTTGATGCAGCATGCAGCAGCGTCCCTCGGTTCTTGCAACTTTGTGTTATTCGGTGTTCAATGGCGGATTCAACATCTAAATGCATGTTCCAATGAATAAACAAGCCACAACATAAGCTTTTGCTTAAGACCTTCTCCCAGCTAGTTTGGGCCTCAAACCACACTCTAAAAACCCTCCATCAATCAAGCTGGTGTCAGTTTTTTACCCCTTCTATGTACATAAGGCCAACCTTAGCCATTTGCTGTCTTCGAATACCACTCGATTAGTGATAAATCGTCGTCTTGGCTAAACAAAGTATTAAGTTTATGGCACGGCATTTGGCTTTTGTTCATATTTAGTGCAGTGCAGGGGCCAGTCCATAAAATGAAATATTAATATATTAATTTTGGCATCTAATCTTTTACAGCCCACGGATAGACAGACTCCCAAAAAGAGCAGACCGGGGAGCACGACTATAAATTGTCTGAGTCTCGATGAGCAGGCAGGCCTCAGCTCAGCTCAGCTCAGTTCACCTTACCCGCATTGTCTTGGCCAAGTTCAAATTCAAGGCTAAGCTCGATGACAAATGCCGGTAAGTTTTGTATTATTTTTTATATTTTTATTGGCTACCTATTGTTGCTGCTTTTGTTTACGGAATTATTTGATGGATCATCTGCCTGCCAGTACAATGAACGGAAATGTACCACAATAAAATGTAGATCTGGTTTAGGATTTAGGATATAATTGAGCCATTTGCCTGTCAGATTTGTAAGGTTTATCGCCTTGAAATGTTTTGCAAATTATGTTCCCAGCAAAGCTGCAAAGATTCTCTGTCTTAGAATTAGTTAGGCCCGAAGGTTCCTCCCACACACACGCACACACACACAATGCACAATTAAATTAATTTTGTACATATTTATTTTTCCACCGTGCATTCCATGCACACCATGGCCAAAAGCAGCGTCACATCCCCGCTAGAGTCTCTCGAGTCTAGACCCTCTACAACAACAAAAACTCTCGTTTTCATTTGCATCTAATTTTTAGCTAAAATTTCTTCGACGTCAGCAACGTGTTTTGTGTGTGAGTTGCTGTTGCTGCCCCAATCCGGTTGCACGATAGAAACAGAAGTCGTTGACAAGTTTTTGTGTGTCTGCAATCATCTGTCTTCCCTCTGCTCCATGCCTCCATTCTCTCCTTTAGCCAGTTTTGCCAGCTGGCCAAGACAGGTCGCTGCTTGTCACGGGAAATTAGCATCTTTATAAGCTGTTATGAGAGCTGGACTGAGGCTGTAGCTGAGGCTGAGCTTTGCTTTTGGTACTTTCAAGGTCGCCTGTTTCTGTGTGCACTACAGACATCTCATCTCATCGCATCTCTTCGCCCTGGCACCTGATGGCACACTTGATTTTGTTTTTATTTGAATTTATTTCGGAAACTGTGCTAACTTTTTGATGCTTTATTTATCTCATATCTTTGAGGAAGCTAATTCTAACTTGAAGGCTCGAGCTGAGCTCTTAAATGGACAGAAAATGTTGTTGATTCACCAGACCATAACGCCTCTTAATTAGATTTCATGTTAAATTTGTCTAATTTGATTGCTAAATCATTTAAATTAAAGCAAATTGCCTTGGCCAAATATTATTTGTATTCCTATGTTTATTGGAGTTCCAAGAACTTATGTTTAAGCGAGGGACATTCGAGAGACTGGGGAATAGGCACACAAATCTGAGCTCTTGAATAGAAAGAAATTAAAGCCTTGACGTAATCAGACGACGAGTTTGGTATTCTTGGAAGCCGTATAGCCAATAAGTCTTTCTCTATTTGTATTTATTTTCATTGGAAGATCATTTTTGAAGGGCTTTAAAAGGGACATCCTTGAAATGAGAACGTTTCAATATGTTTTTGCTCGCTAATATAAGGTAATACATTCTAATTCTTGTTCCCAAATTGCATCGCTCCCTCCACACCGAAGCACGACTCGAGCCGCACAAGCGACTGCTGCAAAAGAGAATGCCTGGGAACGTAGATTACATTTGTGTCTGCCTTTATTCTTTACTTCGGGTTTCTCTGTTTTCTGCCACTGCTCCTGCCCCTCTGCCTATGACAAAGTTTCGCTTGAGGAAAATCCTCCAATTAGGCCTCATCTATCACCTAAATCTTCAGGTTAACTCAGCCATGTCCGCCTGCCAGCCTACCAGACGATTTTCTTTATGCATTTTCCCTCCAGCTGTTTGCATCTTGAACAGCATCTTCGTGTCGCTGACACACACCGACGATGCTGCGATGCCATGTGCGATGGCGATGGCGATGGCGATGGCGATGGCGGCAAGTGAAAACTAAGTTTCCTTTTTGCCGCCACAGCCACAGCAACAGCAACATCCACATACAAATCCAAGTCCAAGTCCGAAACCAAATCCAAAATCAATTTGTGCTTGTTTTTTTGTTTAGTGTCTCAAAGTTGCTGGAGCTGTTCCACAAATAAGTTTTAATCGCCCATTCCGGTTGTCCCCGATCCGATGCTGGGATGTCTTGGTCTGACCCGCGGCAGAGGACGGTTCAGTTTTGGTTGCCCAAGAGAAAATAAACACTCTGCGTACTGGTTGCAATTAACAAAATATTAGTGCTATATTTTTCGTAATTGTGAAAAAAGTACAAAGAGCAAACGAAATGGAGAGTGAAAAGCTCCGCGCCAAATATTGTAAAATGCACAAAACGTCGAGAGACGCGACCAGAGACCAGAGACCAGAGAGAGATGAATGAAAGTAAAATTTCAAAATTTCATTTGTTGCTGCCCGTTGCCTGATGGTCGCTTGATGATGAAAGTAAAATCTTGGCTCAGTTATGTTGGCCATTTTCGTAGTGTTGCTGTTGCTGTTGCTGTTGCTGCTTCTGTTTTGGTGTTTGGTGTTCGCTGAAGATGCGCAGACAACAAACTGTAGCACGGGGCTATCAAAGAGGAGGAGCAGGGAGACTGCCTAACAATATACACCTTCGCTGGATGTACAAGGCGCAAAGAAATAATTAGCAACGCCTGAGATCATTTTTGAGTTTGCAAAACGCTGCTCGTATATTTTGGCCATGAGAGATGGTCGGATATGGTCGTTAGAGCAGGAGGGTGGAAAAGGTGTTGGCACTGCACGGAGAGGTGTTTGACTTATATATCTATAAATATCTGTAAACTCACCTTTTTCTGTGGTTTGCTTTTGGGTTTGCTAAAATAATCCACAGAAATCTTCAAAGTTTTTCTTCCCAAATTGGTTCTCTTTGATTTTGATTGTAAATTTTCTATAAATTTGATGGAAAGAAAATTATTCCCTAAATAAACAATAAATAAATTGCCACTGCCGCAAACACAGAGATGAAAATCCACACAGGTACAGACACAGACAGTTGCATTTTCTTTGCAATTTTCTTTGTTTTACATGTGTGTGTGCGTGTCCATGTGTGCGTTTGTGCCTGCGTCGCTCCATTTGTGTTTGTGGACATTTTTATAGCTGTTTTTTGCTCATTTTATAGCTGATTTAGCATTAATTTCGCTGGAAAATCATTTAATTTTTAATTAGTTTACGATTGGCAGCACTTTGCCGCTGCAATTCATTGACTTTGCAACACTTTTTCCGGCATTTGGCAACACAATTTTCGATTTGAGCCCGAGAAATGCACTTGATTTTCCATTGGATCTGTGATGTATTATGATTTTTATATAATTTTTACATCTCTCACTGCACACACGCGCACACACACACAGACAGATGGGTAGATATATGCACTCGGTAGATTTGCCACGCCCACTTACTTTATGCGAGGGGGCTGTGTGTTGGCTGCCGTTCACCTGGCTGACCGCTTGCAGTCTGATGTCTGAAGTTGCAGATCGTATTGGCCAACTCGCGAGGTTGGCATAAAAATGGGAATTCGGTTTTGCTTTTTGTTGTTGTCTTTTGCGTTTTGCCTTTGCTTTTGCTACTCCCGAAAGCTCTCTTCGTCGCTAATTTTGGTTCGTTTGCGGCCACCACGCAGGCGCATGCTCCACTCGAAACCGGTTTATTGCCGCTCCAACGGCATTCGGCTTTGCGCTTTGCGCATGCTCTGCACGTTGTCACCGCAAAAGCAACAGCAAAAGCAGCAGCAGCGGCAGCGAAAGAGAGCCGAGCAGAGCGCCAGTCTCTCTCTCTCTCTCTCTCTCTCTCTCTCTCTCTTTCAGCGCCACTCACAGTTACAGCTTGAGCTTTGCGTTGGCTTTGAGTGCGTTGTGTCTTTGCTTTTGATATTTTGCCTCTCTCTGTGACTTTGAGTTTTGTTACTTTGTTGGGCTTATGGCTTCTGGGATTGATTTGTTTTTGCACAGTAGCGTTTCTTCTGGAACTTTTGCAGAAGCAAACACAAGCAAGACCTTCTATACCTTTGATCTGTACTTTTGCTACGCTGTGACTTTGCTTCTACTTGCTGGTGTGTGTGTGTTGTGTCGTGACTTTTCCCTGTGGCTCTTGCTCTGCATTTTGAGCGTGTGCGCTAGTGCTCGATAATCATGCTTAACAGGTTTACTGATTAAGATTTTTTTGTACCCTACCCCAGACTCACTAACATACCTCTTGCAAAATATGGTAAAAATGTAACAGAAATTAATACTCTTGTCCTAAAGTAAGCAATTTGTGGTGAATTTTGATGAAGTTTTTAAAAATACAGGAAAAATCGTTGGATGTTCGGTGGGTTGGAGAGGATTTGTCTTAATATATTAAATATTTGCTCGAAGAAGTCAGAGAATATTTATTAAATATCCAATACATAGATAGATCCATTGAATGCACATTAAGCTGCTCTCTTTGTTTACCCTACTTCAAAATGACTTAACAAACTGCTCATGCTCTATTATAATTATCGATTAGCAACCCCACATATGCATGATATATTTGTGCAAGTTTACAAAGCGGAGTAAATACCTTTTCTTCCTCCTTTGCCTTTGCCACTGACCGCAATGACATAATGGGAGGCAAAACAATAGCAAAGCCCAGCCGAAAATGACGGTTACAGTTCAATTAATGAACCGAGTCGAGTCTTGGCCTAAGCCATCTGCCAGGGCATTAGTCACACAAACACACAGAGACTGAAAATAAACCGAAAAATAATTTAAACGACTCATGAATTATTGCGCATACGCCGCATGCTCCGTGGTCCGTGGTGCGCTCGAGTGGCTCGCTTCGTTCAGCAATTAAATGTTGAACGAGCAGACGCAGCCGTAGGCCGTTTGGAGTGCAGTTTTGGATTTCAATTCGAATGCAAAATAATGATAAAAACATTAAACCAGACTCTGTTTGCTTTGGGAAATCAATCAGTCAATGGGGTGGATTATGGCATTTATGTACTCGTATCTCCGGCTATAACTCTGCCACTGCCCCTCCATTGCGTCACAAAGTACTGCACTGCACTGCATCGGCATCGGCATCGACAGCTGCGTTTCGTTCCGTGTGTGAAAGTTGAATTGGAAAAACTAAACTCAAACACCAAAAAACAAGCGGATTGAACTCAAGTCTGCGATTGTGTTTTTGTTTTTTTTTGGTATTCAAATTTGGAACAGAGACCCAAAACCGCTTCTCGTATCTGTAGCATGCGGAATGGGGAATTGCCTGCTGCAGCACGGCGTGTGCCTCCGATCTAGTTACACGTTCATCCATTCCACTTACATAGATACTGCGCTACAATCCATGGCACTCCATTCCACTCCTCTATGTTGGCTCCCCATATCTGTATGAGAATGGGAGCACTGTGTGTGTGGGTCGCCGCTTGACGCTTGTCGACTGTCGTCTGTCGCTTGCTGCTGAACGGTTTGTTGAACCGGTATTCCACATTAGTGGCAGTGGCAGTTGCAGGTAGCACACACACATACACACACACACAAAGACTGGGAGACAACGTGTTGTAACTTAAGTTAACTGGTCGACAAAAAACCACCAAAGCAGCAATTTCAACAACTTACCCTACCGCCTGCCTCCCCACACAGCATTACATTACAGATCGATCGTTCCGCTAATGTTTCGCTGCTTTAGATACTTAAATTGATAAAAATGTTATTTTTGGTTGTAACTTTTATTATAATACTGTCGGAAAATGGTAGCCAGATTAGGTCTGTGGTTGGTTGGAGACTTTACGAATTTCCGCAGCACATTCCCTGCCTTAATTTCCTTTGTTAAATGATTTTCTCTTGCCTTTTGTTTCACTTGAATTTCAACAAAGAATCGCAGCGCTGATGAATGTTCTCCCTCTTAAAAGTGTCATAACAATTTCAGTTTATTTTTGCATTAAATTTGAATTTTTATTCGAATTTCTTGTGATTGTTCTTGTTGCCTTTTGTCCAATTAGCCCAAATTCGTGCCAGCCTCACCCTAAAATCACTTCTGAGTCATTCTGCTCGCTCCGCTGTAATTCTTTTCGTTGACCAAAACAAATCCAAATGCAATGTAAATTTTGTTGTAATTATATTAAGCTACCCCCCACCACCACCACCCCGCCACAGGGCAGAAAAGTCGTTCAACTTGTTTTCTTACAGTTTCGCTCCTTATTGTTATTGTTTTATTGTGCTTGTTGCTGCTGTTGCTGTTGTTTGCTTTGCAACTGGTTCGATTGTATCATAAGTTTTTGTACATTCTCTTAACGGGGCGGAGCCTTGAGATGTTGCCTGCCTGCCTGCCTGCCTGCCTGCTGAATCGAATTACAATTCCGCGATACTTCGATACAACTTCGTGATTGACCTTGGGTTCTGTCTCTTTATCCCCAGTCGATTCAGTGGCTGTTTATAGGATAAAAAAGTTCACCACAAATCGAAACACCTTGCCCAAAGTGCTATTCGATGCAGCCCGCTCGGCGGTGTCTTCGGGCACTTCGGCACCTTCCACCAGATGTGCATCCAGTTGGGCCTCCAGCTCCGCGCCATAGCGTAGGATGTACCACTCGGCCACCAGGTAGACAATCAGCGTGAGGAATGCAAACTTTAAGTAAATCTTGAACACATCCAGCACATGGAGGCACACCTGATGGAGTATTACCCAAAGATCCATAATGTCTCTGTGAATCTTTGATCAACGATTGCGATTTTCGCATAAATGAGGTCGTCTCTCTGTGGCCCTCTCCTTGCTGCTGTCTTCATGGGTTTATTATGCAATTGTTGGCTTCAAATTTGTTTCTGCTGCTGCTGTGATGCTGCACATTTCGGTTTTGGCTCTGTGAGTGATGTCGCCTCCATGGGATGTTGTTGGTCTTTGGACTCATTTGCATTGGCTATGCGCTGCTTGTGGTGTTGATTTAGTTTCGTCTTTCATTGAGCGACGAGCAGAGGCAACTTAATTATGTTAATTTGTGTAGAGCATCGCATCGCCATTGATTTCGTTCACTCTCTTTCACTCTTTCTCTTCTTTCGTGGCGGCTCTCTGTAAAAGTTTAAACAAAACAAATTTCGCTTTAATTTGATTGGAAATTAATTTGAAACGAACGAAGATGAGTAAACAAATTGGAAATTGCGAAAAATTGCTGCCCAACAACTGGAGCAAAAGGTGTGACCACAAAAATGTGAGATAAATCCAAGAAATTGCTTGATTAGCATAGAAAATGGTTGTTGACAATGTACAGAAAGAGAGGCTCAGAGAAGGTCTTTGTGGATGGGAAATTTATGCAGGAGAGAAAAAAGAATGCATACTTACACCCTGAAGCTATCAAATTTGCATTCATTTTCACCCAAAACTCGAGCATTCATTGAACTGTGACAGTCCCAAAATAAGCCGCTTAAACCCCAACACAAATCTCTCAAGTAGCATCAGAAAAGTTAACCTCATCCCATTGAACTTTGCTGCAAAACGATGCCAAATCACACGTCAATCAATCGCAGATCAATCAACTTTTGCCCTGATAATGAACCAACGATTTGTGGCACCTTCAACGTTCCCCCATGGAGACTCCCCTTGCAGCGCACGCCACTGCCTCTGCTGCTGACGAACTGAAGAGACAAACTCCAGTCAAAACTGGCCAAAGAGATTGCATCTTTTTTGGATTTGAATACACTTGACAATCGCTTAACGAAAAGCGACTTAACCTTACCCCAAACGAAACCAGACAACCAGAGACTGGACACCAGAGCGACTGAAGACCAAAGATGAGAGCCTGCTCTTCAGCAATCCTCTTCGATAATCGCAGCAATTATACTAAGCACACAAATCAACTTCAGCTTCAACCGATGAACAGATTGACAGGCTTGAGAGCCGCGGAGAAGTGGAGTCTCTTCAGTACAGGGAAAAAACATACCATAACGAAATGGTTTACATTAATTTGAAAACGCATGCGAAATCCCCAAGTTGCATTGCAACAAAACAACAACAAAAAGAAGCAACAAAAAGATACAAAAAACCAGTTTGCAAAAATGATATACAAAGTGGATTGCCTTCGTCCCCGTACACTGAAGGAGAAGCTGGAGTGCCAGTGCGTCTCTTCCTGGCCATGCAAAACTTTTGTAAATGTTGAAGTTGAATTGTCGCATAAAATGGGAAAACTCAGGGACTCTGCCAGTCGAGACCCAAAGCGAAATGGTGATAATTAATGGACAAGATTTAAGACTCAACGACTGCTGCAGAGGCAGAGGCAAAGCTCTAAGAAGACTTCACAGAAGCCTCCCCGCTTGTACTCGAACTGGAAGCTGTAGCCGTGCCCGCAGCCAGATGATGACAAGATGACTCTCAGGTCTCGTCTCGTCGCTGACCGCTGGGATGTTGTGTTGTGTGTGCGTGGATCTACCGGTTTTTCGAGACCAGATACCTTGAAAGACCTTCTGACATTTTGCTGATATTATTACTCTTCTTTTTGTTTGGCTATGGGACTAGTTTCTAGTTTTTTGGTTGCTCTTCGCTGAACTTGGAGCACCTGTGGCACTTTTTGTAGCGATAGAACAGAGGCAGTAGCTGGAGTTTTTAGCTGTTCAATACGATATCTTTCAGTAAATTCTCCTGCACGTTTACTTCATTCAATGATCCATGGATCTTCCTTTCAAATACTCGTAAAATGCATCTTCCTTCCTGCCTTAAGATCTCTTTCTATTTCCCCTTTCTAGAGTATTCAAACTTCTTTATTCCAACACAAAATCCCTCTCTAGCCACAAATTGAATTTTCGCAATTTATTGAAAACAATTTCAACATTTTCAAGTCAAGTTAATGAAATAATTTGTGTTTCTGCCTCGCTCTCCTCTCTCTCTATTATATGTTATACTCTCTGTGGATCCTATTTCGTTTGGTTATTTTGCATAAAATTCGCGTCACATTGTAAATTATTTAGTTGCATATTAATTAGTGGACAATTCCCACACCGTAACGAAGAGAGAGAGAGAGAGAGAGAGAGAGAAATAAAACATAAATATTGTTCAAGAGAAGGCTCTCTTACATAATGGAAATGGTGTTAACTCGACTCCAGTTACCACTTCGTTGTAGCCATTATTATTATTGTGGTTGTCTTAGGACAGGGAGGAAACAAAACCGAATGTGGGTGACCAGCGCCAGGCAGGAAAATGTAACATTTAAAGCATGAAATAAATGTTGACAGAGTGCGGGCAGGGGCGGATATACTCACGAAAGTGTTACACAAAATTGTGTCAAACTTTGTTTTGGCTTTCGGTTAATGACTGAAATTGAAATTGACTTTTAATTAGGATTTTGAGTTTGTGCTTTCTGCTTTGATTTTGTTTCTCCGCTCATTTGCCTAAAGACCGGACCGGGCCGGGGCTCGAGCTCCGATGATATTTCCGCATCAAAGTTGGCGGCTTATTTCTTATGCATGAACGACTACGCAGCCATTGCGTAGGTGTACGATGACTCGAATATATATGTATCTATGTACCTTATATACATATTTGTGGTATATAATTACCGATCTGCTTGTATTTGATGCGGAAATTGTGTGCCTGAGGCGTTGGCATATAAAACTTGAACTACTTCTTCGACTCCACGCTGCTGCGAGTATTTCTTCCTAATTTGAATTCTAGTTATGCAGCTGGATGTCACGGGGTGTGAGAAAGGGAGAGCAAAAGAGAGGATTGTAACTGTATCTGTTCATGTATTTGTAGAGATTGGAATCAGTTCTCCCTAGACCTAAGATTCCTTTGTAGAATTATGTCTGGAAGATATCTACCATAGTTATGGACTGCCTTAAGATTACTTTTACAATGTGGAATATTTTATTTCTGCTTCACAGCCTCCTCGCATTCCCTGAAATTTCCGACATTTGTTTAATTTCAAGCCAACATCTAAGCCCAGTGAAGGGCGGCAACCAGCGTGTCTGTCTGTCTTCCCCTCCCACTTGGTAACTCCGTCAGCCATTCACCTTCCATTTGGGCCACTTTTTCGTGCACCGCTTCGCAGCCTCCATTTTCAGCTGACTTGGCACAATATTTATTTACTTCCACTCCCAGACGTAATTCGAAAATAATTCCACACTTTTTGCCATAATTACCGCATTATTTATCCACACTTCCGTAGGCAATTCATTTCCATTGCAGAGATGGTCTAATATCAATTTGGAAAGTTATTTATCAGAATTATTATTACAAAACGAGAAAAACAAACAAAAAAACCGGAAAGCTGATCTTTAGAAAGCAGTGGGACTGCAGATTGATGGGTTGAAAATACCCAACTGATCGTCAGAAAAATACCAAAAGATCAGCAAAAATTTCAGTTTTATAAAAAGTTACACACAGTTGCTTGTAACGGTGACTGCTTACTGACAAGAGTTGGTCGTTATGTTTGTAACGGTTATTCGTTGCACTGCTTGTGGTGCTGTTAACTGACGAGAGCTGGCTTCTATGCGTAAACTGCTTGTAACACTGCTTACTGTGCTGCTCACTGACAAGAGTTGGCTTTTATGCGCTAACTGCTTGCGACAGCCATTCGTTGCACTGCTTACAGGAAAGCCAGTTACTAAATTTTCAAATTTTATTTCTTGAGTGATTGGGTTTTAGTTACAAATTTAAATGAGTATGAAATGTGATTTGTATTTAACAATGATAGGGATGTGTGTTTTATATATGTACAAAAGATAATTTTGGGATACATTTGAACAGAGTCCAAAGCAGAGGTCACAAAGTTGGCGCCAATTTTGGTTTCATTGATTGTTTAATTTGATGGATTAAACAATGAGAACAGCAGCCGCCAGTTCATTCAATGGCTTCGATTATTTCATATTCTTCATCCAAAGAATGATCATAGTCGATGTTGTATTTATTTTTGATTTTACTCTTGTAATCCTTGAGTTCGGCATCGTTTTCAAATTGATTTGCGCTGTAGCGTTGCATTCCACGTGGATTGCTGTTGCTGTTGTTGCTGCTGTTGTTCTTCTTTTTCTGGTTGCTGTTGTTGTTTTTTCTTCGCTGATTGTTGTTGCTGTGTTGTGTGCGATTCCTAGATCTAGTTTGGTTGCTCTCTACTCTACTCTGTTGGTTAATTCTATTTTTCTGCTTATTGCTACTTTTACTAGAATTATGTTGCTGTTGCTTCTGCTGCTGCTGCTGCTGCTGTGATGATGAGTATATTGATTGAGGATTGGTACTGTATCTCATGCTACCTCTAAAACTATTTTTGGTCATTTTATTATAGTCGCTGCTATCTAGGATTCTATTATTGTTTCTGCTGCTGCTGCTAGTGCTGCCATTGCTCTGTGCTTGCTGAAATTGCCGCTGTCTGCCGCCTCGCTCTCTGGTTCCATTTGCTGTCCCAATCTTATACTCATCATCGGCCTCATATCATACATCGTTCTGCTGCTGCTGCTGCTGCTGCTGCTGCTGCTGCTGATTGCGCTCTGGAATGCGATAGAGTTCATCGTTGTTCTGGTAGAGCTGCTCGGAGCTGGCGCAGTTGACATTCGACCACCAATCGCACACACGAACAGCCTGATTGAAGACAGTGCCATTGGGGCAGAGGAAGGAGTATTGATGGCCAGAGTGGAGACACCAGTGCCAGACCTGCAGTTGCAACAAAGGGATAAGTTAGCTGAGATCTTAGATGGGTTTCTTCTACCCCGTATGGCTCACCTGACAACGCGTCTCTGTGTCCGCATAGTAGCCTGGCTGTCGTCCCTGGCAATTGAAGGCCAAACCCTTGGGCACCGCATCGTACGCAGGATAGTCCTCACCCGCAATGTAGCCATCGATTTGCTGCAACGATAATAATAATTCATACATACATAAGGGCGAGTTTATTTAATGGATTCTGCTGTTGTTGTGGGAATTATCTCATCGCTGGCACGACCTTCAGTTGGCTGGGACTGGGACTGGGACTGCGACTGCATTGAGGTTTTTGTTGCACATTGCTCAAGCAGCGGCAGCCCAAAATGAACTCTAAACAATCACAAAATTACAATTTGAAACAATTGCCACACAACACAACAAATCTAAAATGCAAATGCAACAAGCCAGCAAAAATCTGAACTCCAGCCAACAAAAGAATCAGCGAGTGTTGAAAATTTTGTGTGCACTTGCAACAGTTGCAAGAGGGTCCACGTATGTGACAACCAACTGTCAATCTCATGCGTACGAAACCATGAAAAAGCACAGCGCAAAAAAGAGGCAGAGGCAGAGACAGAGACAGAGACATCATGGATCACGACACACACGACCCAGCACGACCCTTCGCTCTGTCTCTCCATGCATTGGTTGCAGCCTCAATTGGTGGCATGTACGTGGCAGTACACACTCTCGAGTATGTTGCATCTTCTCTGCCTATCTTGATCTTGCCTCAATTTCTAATCTAAATGCAGTTGTGTTGGCTGTGTTACGCTCAAATAAATTCGCCTTTCATTTGTTGCCTCCTTTTAAGAGGGGTTCAAGTTTGCCCCACAGTTCTCTCCTGCTGTTGTTTTTGGGTTAATGCTGTGTTTATGCTAATGGAAATAGATGTTGGAATGGTAGTTGTGGGGGGAGATTGGTTATGGGCAAAGATTTGATGGCCTGGGAACTGGGATGGCGCTCGGGAGGAATTAATGCTCTGCGCTGAGCTGTCGTGGATTTATTTGTGGGAAATATTTGTCGTACTCTGCCAAGAGAATTCCCAAGAGTTTCAATTAGCTACAAGATTTCCTTAGACTTTATTTCAGCCACAAATTTCTCTCAGTGCTCCCTTCTGGCTGATGGGAGGGGGAAGGATGCACCTTCTGTCTCCCATTTCGCTGCGCTTGTTACTCTTTTTTACAGCCTTTCAGCTTTTCCCAATCGCTGGCCAATTTTCACGCTAATAACTTTCCTGAGGTTTTTAACATTTTCCAAACTGCAAACTGCAACAAAAGCGATTCGCAACCAGCAACTATATGGACCAGAGGAGGCCAGACCGCCCATTGGCTCAGTAACCCATAAAAAGGCAGACAGACAGGCAGTCCCACACTCCACATCCGCCCTGTGCCTGGTGCTCCCCAATTACTCCCCCACTCTGTCTGACGAGTCTCAACTCAACCTTTGGCCACAGAGCGTTTTCCTTTAAATACCAAGCCAAGAGCCAGTTGGAGATGTGCTCGAGGCCCTCTGGCATAAGAGTCTGCACCAACAAATGGAAAATGTAAACTGGAAAATGGTTAATTTTCCCTTGCATTTTCGCTGCATTTTCTTTCGGTTTGTGTTTGCCAAGCGCCGTCGAGGGGTAACCAAGGCTAATTGATAATGTAACACGAGCTGCCAGCAGATAGCTAAATCTCAGGAGCGATTCAACGAATTTTGTGTGCTCTTCGGGAAAGGAGGAAGTGTGTAAGAACTTCGTCAACCAATTGACTCCCTGCTAGACACTCTTTTTGAGCATTTTTTGGTAGAGTTCAAACAGAAACTTTAAGTGTAAAAGATTGCCATGGATTCCATGATATTTCTACCTGAACTTCAGTGCGAAGAAATCGCTTGAACTGCGCGTCGTGCAGCAGCGCCACTCGGTCGGTGTGCGTTTCTGCTTGACATTCTTCAGCTAAACTTAATCACTAACTAATCATAGTCACTCCTTGTAGTCAGGGTACACCAATGACGACACCTTCTTGTAGCGAGAGTGAGAAAGAGGGAGAGAGAGTGAGAAAGAGAAAGAGAATGAGACTGTGCATTGAGGGAGCATTTTGGCTTAGCTCTGGAAGACGTGAGAAGATGTCCAACACTTTGGCAGACAGGTTGTCTGCTTCGTGTGCTTGCGCCCCGCTGCGCTGCTGCATCCACCTCTCTTTCAGCTTCTTTTTTGTTGCACTTGCAACACTAGACACAACAACAACAACAACAACAAAAAGAAGATGTTAGCTGGTGAATGGAGTGGCAGCGAGGAGGCACAGGCTGAGGCACCTTTTTAGTCCATTTTTTGTGGGCAACAATTGCTATTTGTTGTTGCTGTGGCTGCAACTTTGCGTGGGAGTTTGCTGGTTGTTGTTGTTGTTGTTGCTGTTGCACGTTTGGTGGGTGGCTGCTGCTGCTGCTGTAGATTCATATCAAACTAGAGACAAATGGTGTGCGCAATCTTTTCTTCGTTTTTTCTTCTGCCCGAAATGCATGTAGGAAACAATCTCAGGTGACACTTTTCTTGGCCCCCCTTCAACCCAATGAAGTTGTCAAATCAATTCGCAGATATTACGATTAGCCAACAGCCAGCTAAAATTATTCAATAAGCCATTTCCCAGGCGCATAAAAACCCTTTTTACAGCCATAATTGTGAGCAATAAAAGACTCAAAAGATTCGAGGACGGCAACGATGACTCTTTACGATGACTTACCCCATTGACACAGTTCCCTGCGAGCAGCATCGAGAGTACTCCGAACACGATCATCAGCAGGCCGAGGTACGTGGAGATGTTGCTGGAGCGAGAGAAGAGGCTCCATTGCCCATGTCCCTCTCTGTGCTGCGGTGATTTGTTCGCTGCTGCCTCCATGATGTCTGTGATTTTTCGGGTTTTTGTATTTGGGGGTTTTCTGGCGGGAGGGTAATACGTAATTTAAATGTGATTTCTGTTGGCTTACTATCTAAAGATACAAAATGGAATCAAAAAATCAAAAGAAAACGAGTCGAGCATTTTAATTTTTAGAAAGGGAAATCTTTTGCCGTCGCATCTTCTGGTGTCTGGCATATAATTAGATTTTATATCTATATGTTTATGGTGACTCATCAGAGGGGGCCGAGGGTTGCAGGAGTTGCCACCACAACCGCTAATGGAGGAGCTTCAGTTATTGCTTTTCTTGGGCTGCTGCAGCTGCCTGTTTTTTTTTTTTTGCATTCACTTTTGTTGGCGTTCGAATGGCTGGGATGCCTTGCCATGGCTTGGCCTGGCTTGGCCCCAAATGAATCTTAATTGAGAATACTTCAAATTGTTAACATCGCATTTGATGGCTCATTCGGTTATGGTATTTGCTGTTTGCTGTTTACTGTTTGCTGCCATTGGGAAATGGTTTTTATGTCCTCTCGAGTTGCAATCATAAATTTGGGAAATGGAAACCAATATGGAAATTACATGCCAAATGCCTGATTAAGCTGCTGCTTTTAAATGTCCATAAATTGTTAATGTTTTTTGACTCCTCGTGAAAATGTCTGCCCAAACTGGAGATGCATAATATTTATCTACATGCTAGCGAATGGTTTGCTGAATTTGTGTTAATTTTGAAAAATTTTTAGCCATTAAAATGTAAGCACAAAGTTAATTTCCACTTATTTTCGATACTAATTTGGACAAATTTGAGACTGCTTAAGAATTTAGTTACTAATTTAAGCATTAATCATTGATTTCTTCATGATGTTAACCATTCAGAAATGTGCAATCCAAGACTTTTGGGAAGACAAATGAGAGTTTCCTATTGGCTGGCCTAAATACTTTCTGAAATTCTTAAAGCAGAATCATCTGGTTTTATGGTTTAAATTTAGTCCAAGGATTATGTTTGTTTTTCATCAATTCAACTCGCAGCAAACTAAAGTTTCCTTTCCTTAAAACTCTGCTTAAAGTTTCCATATCCTTTTTTGTATATTCTCATAATTTATTGCCACATTTGGTTGTTCGCTTGAGTCCAGTTTTATGTTTGTTTATGCTCCTCGTGGGAACTAATTTGCGTAATTGGTGATTGGATTTCTCGCAGCACACAATCTAAATGCCACGCACAAAAAACACACACACAAAACACACACTCGAAGATCGAAGTAGATCGAAGTGGCAGATCCCCGCGTATCTGATGTGGACTCACTTCAAAAACTTTAAACTGGAGGAGCAGAGAGAGCGTGTCTGAGGGTGCACGTGTTGCCGCGTTTGAAGTTGATGCAAAAGTTAGAAAAAAATTCGCATCAATTTTAGTTTTATACTCGAGAGCGTGTTGCTGGCTGGCTGCTCGGGGTTGTCCACGGGGTCTCCACGGCCAGATGGATGAGCGCACGAGGCTGGCTTAGAAAAATGCACAGCGTCATCATCAGCGCCGCTGGAATTGCCAAAGAGCAAACTCATCGTCGTGGCCCCAGCTCAAGCCAGAGCCAAAGCCGAAACCCAAACCGAAGCTCGGAAACTAAATCATCGTGGCGCTAGGCTATTGATGATGCTTCGTCTCATTTCGCTTCGTTTTCGTTTTGTTTGTGTGTTCGTTGCTTCGCCGCTCTCTCGCTCTTCGCTCTCATTCGTTTCTAAGCAAAGCCACCACGCTCTCTCCCTCTCTCTCTCTCTCTCTCTCTGTGTGCGGTTGTGTGCCCCTCTCTTCCACCGGCTTTTGTTTGGATCTTTGTTTGGTTTGTTTATGTCGCAAAGCAAACGCAAAAGCAATGCAAAAATTAGTGCGAATTTTGAGCTTATTGATGGTTCAGCCAGTCGGCCACTTGGCCAACTTAACGGCGATTCCGATTCCATTTAATTGCTGCCTGCTGCCTGCCACTTGCTGGTGCGAAATGTTCGCTCATTAGCGACGCATAAACGAAAGACTTGGGCAACGAACTCATCCGATTGATTGGCATTGGGTAAAGAAAAGCGAAAGGTAATAGCGGGAAAGCAGCAGAAACAAATGAGGATGCGACTTTAATGAACCAATAAAAGAAAAGTCAAAAAGATTAGGAATTAATGATCTCTGAGAATAAAATTCATTAAATTCTACACAATTTCGATTCAATGAGAGCAAAAGGAGAGCGGAATTTAATTCTGACTCAGAAAAGGCAGTGCAAGCAGTAAACAATCTCAAGAAGTGTAACAAGCAGCATTCGCCACAAGCAGTGCAATAACACATAGAGGAAATCGAAGCATAAGCAGTGCACGAAGGTCAGAATAAGTCTTCGTTTCCATCGTTCCCATGAAAGTTCCTTCCCATTTTGTAAGTAAAACTGAATGATGACTGACTAGGACTGACTACTATGGGATGGTGTCCCAAAGGATGAATTCTCCCTGTGTGCAAAGGGAATGTCCACTCCCAGCGGATGTTACTGTTGCAATTCTGCCTTTCTGCCTGTCACTGGCAGCATTTAGTTTTAAAATTATCATAAATTAAACTAATTAAAATAAAATGCTGCAATAAATTGTACGAAGCTGCTGCCTTTACAGCCTTTGGCAAGAGACATTCAGTTGCTCTAGAATTGATGCAGTCTCCGGTTCAGAGTCGCAGCAGCAGCAGCAGCAGCAGCCACAGCAGCCGCTCACTTTCAAAAGATGTGCAGTGGCAGTGGCAATCCGGTTGGAAGACAGCTCCGACGGCTCCATTCAATGAGCTTCAATAGAGCATTGAGACCTGGGACTGAGTCTGAGACACTTTGACTGGGCCAACGGACTGCTGCATTCTGGTTCACCTTCGAGAAAAGCAAAGCACTGGCAACACTCAGGCCATTGCATTGCCAAACGAAACGAAACGAAACGAAACGTTTCTTCGTCTTTCGTGGCTCTTGGAGCAAGTTTCGGCTGCAGTCGAATTGTGTGAGAAATTCCCTTAATCAGCGCAGACTTCGAGTGCAGTTTCTCGACTGCAAACAGAGACCCAAGTCTAGACGCTGAATATGGGCAACAGCCTGGTGTGCTTTATGGATTTGTACTTACTTCATTATCATTAGGCGTTGGTCGTGTGTGTCTCAGTCTGCTTGCCCAATTGTTTGTGTAATTTCAAGCACTAACTGATGGCCACAATCTCCACTCCACTCTGCCCCGCCATCAATTTCCGAAGATTTCACACGCTGTGACCGTAAATTATTGCACAGACCTTGACTTTTACACATTTGAAGGTAGCTCCATCACCAGTGAACGCTTCTTCATATTCTTCAAATTGGTCTAAAACGTGACGAAAACACTCATCAAATAATTATGGCTGGGGGGTAATGGCTTCCCGTTGTGCTGCCTGCCATCCACCATGTGACATGACACTTGTGGCCCCTCCACAAGAGTAAACACAATTTTTCATTCGTTATTTTTCCCATTCTTGTGTCAAGCGACTAATGCTGTAATTTATTCAATTTGTTTAGAAATGTTTTCATAATTAGACTCCAGAGCAGACTTCAGACTTCAGTCTCAATTCAGGGCCAGCACAGGCTTGACCTTTGAAGTGCGTTTCGTTTGATCTTCTCTGAATATCTTGGATATTTATAAAAGCAAAGGCAGAGTCTCTGCTTTGCCCCTCCTAAAGCTGCTGGATCATATCGGATTTCCTGCTCCTAATCACAGCGCACACCGAATGCAATGCAACTCTCCGCATTAATCCCCAGCCAAGTAGTCCAAGGTTTGCCCCAAACTCCGTGCATCCGTGCATCTCGCTCTGGGGTTCATTCATCTTTCGCTGCCCAAATTGAATGCAGAATCATTTGTCAATTGCTGAGACTCCCACAACACACACACACACACAACAAAAAAGAGACCGCAACAACAAAAACACACACAGACAGACAAATTTTGATGAACGCATTTCGTTCTCATTGTTCCGCTTGTGTGTGGTGCGTGTGTGTGTGTGTGTGTGTGTGTGTGTGTTCTAGCTTCCCTCCCTACAACAAAATTCTCTGCCAGTGCACAAACACAATGCACTTTTTGGGGTTTGTGTTTAGGTTCTTTTTTTTTTCGTTGCATCCCGCGCCGCGCGTTGATTATTGTGCAAATAAAAATTCTAATGTTGATTTCGGCAACAACAATGCGGCAACAATTATGCAGCTGCCTCGCTGTGGAGGAAGGTAATTAAAGGCAGAACACAGGAAAACACGGCCAGAAATAGTAACAAAAAACTAAACAAACCTCCAGTCCGGTCTGCTCCGAGCGGGGGAGGAGGAGGAATTATAATTATCGCTCGGCAACAATGAAAATGCTAAGCAGCAGACAGCGAGGAAGGGTCCAAGACGAGCCAAAGTCAAAGCAGAACATCCTATGGTGCCACACATGGCACATGCCACATGCCACATCCGTTAAGAGGCAAAAAACAACAAAGCAAAAAACCCGAGGAATGATCCATCATCATCATCATCGCCAGAGTCTCAGCTTTGCGCAATGCCAGCCTCTTCCTCAGCACTCGAGCCACCCATCTTCCTCCCCTCTCCAACTCTACTTTGAATCGGAGCTTAAATATCATACATCATCGGCCATAAAAAGGTTTTCGCTTTGCGCTTGGTCTCTGCTCTTCTCTCTTCGCTCTTCGCTCTGCTTTTTGTGGCAAATTGTCGATGGGTTTTGCAATCAAAGTGAAGGCTCTCTTCTGTGTTAGCGGGGGATCACCAAATTTAATTGTATTTTCGTTACATTTTGTCACATCTTGCAGAGGGTCCACATTTTATTCATATTTTTGCTACACTTTTTTGTGTCAATCATTGCTTCAAGTGGCTTTTGTTCAGCATGGGATTTACCCATAACTAGGTCATGTTCCCCTCAGTTATTTGAACAATTTTTAAAGCCACTTTCAACATAAAAACTAATAATTTATAACACAAATTAGTCAAAGGTGCCACAAGCCAAGAAAATGCCAAAAAGAATTGATTGAATTGCCATTTGATGAATGTCTCGAGACGCTAGACTCTCGACTCTCGACTCTCGACTGTAGACTGCGGAGTGACAAAACCAGACTCAGAGACTCCAAGCAGCGATCGAGAACCCGGCAAAACCAATTACAAATTCAATGGAAAATACTTCGAAGATGATTGAAATTAATGGCAGATCCCATTCAAACAAACAAAAACAAAAAACAGTTGTAGAAGGCCAAAGGCAGCGCTGCCCCAGCCTGTGCCCCCATCGATCGGATTTCCAAAGTGGCAACAAGACAACAGACAACTCAAAAAGCAGCAAAAGTCTTTGCCTGTGCGGCTGATGATGATAGACAAACGCTTTGGGGGAAATGCAATTTTCATGCAGAAAATGCCAATGCATAAAGCGAGAAAAAGATTACATTACACAGATACACGGATACACTGGTCTGCTCGTACTTATGTGGCAGAAAGAAGTACTTTAACTGGACTCAACGCGACTTGTGGCAAATGCCAAAGCGATAGCATAACGAGGTGCGAACAGGGTCACTGCTGGCTGGCTGGCTGGCTGGCTGCGTGGTGGCCACCAGAATGTGGTCCAAATTAAGTTGGCAGTTGGCTGCAAAATACTGTCATCTTGTGTGTGTTGGGTTATACATTCGCAGACTTCCTTCTAATGTGCACTAGTAGAGTTCAATGGAATGCTGAAGAGTCACATATTAAGCAGCATTCATTGGGACGTTTGGTTGTATCTATAGAGTCTCACAGAACGACTTAAAGTGCAGCTGAAGCTAACCAAACGACAGTTGTTTTTGTGGCGGAAAATATGTTTTTTGTTGGGTTATTTATAGAGATTTTGTTATAGGGCTAGGCCATGAATGTGAGCTGTTGAAGAGCCATGAAGAGTTCCATTGTCTGCCCATAAATTCTGCTTCAATTCTTCCATAAATCAATATATTTCTGAATCCCTAACTCACTGCCCAACTTTCTTTTCAGATGCAGTTCGGTTCTCAAGCTGATTATCTAGCAAACAAAAGGACTTGCTCTACACCTGCTTCAGGGTAAGTTTCCATTGTTTTCCCTCACATTTTTCTTGCTTTCGTACATCAAAATGTATTAAGCATACGTCATGTGGCACACTCTGGGTTTTCTTTGATTTTGTTTGTTCAGCTAGCTGCTGGCTAGCACTTAAATTGATTTTGGCTTTTGTGCCTCGCAATTGGAGCACTCTGAACAACGGAGGCAAGGTCACTTGGCCGCTTGGCCATCTGCACAAATTCGATGATCATGGCGATGACTTCAGCGACTGTGCGATGACTCCAATAACCGCTCGGAGTCGATGATGATGTCTTACTGC